CAAAAAAAAAAAGAGAAACCAACAACAACAACAACAAAAAAAAAAACCCCACAAAACCAAAAAGAGAGAAAAGAAAAAAAGAAAAAAAAAGAATAACAAGCAAAAACAAGAGTGAGAAAAATATTCCAACTCCATCAAGTAAAACAAAGGACCATCAGAAAATTTAGCACAAAGAATGCTACCATCACTTAAAGAAGGGTCCATACAATAAGAGTGAAATTGTGTCTAAATTACAGCGTAAACCGGTAGCTGCTACCAATGGTGACGTCATACTGAGCATGTATAGGTATAAAGTAGAATATAATATAGTTACAACTTTTTGATACTACATATCTGTAATAAGCTCTTGGGTGAATAATGTTTCAACCCCTCCCCCCACTTTTATATATATATTATATATATAAGTTTGTCATCCTCATAAATTGGAAAATAGCGCCTCCACTATGGAGCACAGAAAAGTGTTAATTTATTTTCTTTCAATAGGATACTTTTTTTCATCAATATCAAAGACAAAGTGAAGATGAGCTGAGAACGAGCTCAACTTCGTGACAATGAAGAAACATGATTTTCCTTTCGATGTAAAGTCTTGTTTTAAACCACAGTGTTGCACAGTACACGACTGCTTAAAGTGAAACCTAGCAAGACATCATGTAAAAGTAATTGTAAAAAAAAGTTAACACAGCTGTGCTGCAGAGTTAACTCTTTAAAGTCCTCGTCATTCATCACCTCAGAATTAATGACTACGTGTGTTGACAAAGGGTTGCATCCAACCTCCCCACCCAAGCCAAGAAATCAAAATAAAATACCCAACCAAATTAAAAAAAGAAAAAAGAAAATAATAATGACACAGGCAGTTAACTTTGTGTTTCTGCGTAGCTTCCCTAAAAACACTGTTTCCACATAAATACAATAAACTCTATTATTGGTAAGTCACAAGTGCTAGATAAACGTCTTTTTCTTCTTCTTAAAATGAGAAATGTTTAAGTAGTCCTTTTTCATTTAACTCTTTCTTAACAACAAAAAGCACGATTTCTTAAGTTCAGTAAGACGTGAAAAACGTTTCCCACTCTCCTTCCTTTGCGTGTGTGTGTGTGTTTGTGTGTGTGTGTGTGGGTGTGACAAAAAAACGTCCCAACCTCAGTCTCCGCAAATGCCACGAGAGGAAAAAACCAACAACAAGAAGAACAACAAAAAAAAACCAACAAAAGAAGGAAAAACAAAACAAAACAAAACCAAAAAACCAACGCAACTTTTTTTTTTTTCTTTCTTTCTTTCTTTCTTTCTTCCTTTTCTTTTTTTTAATTTTTTTTTTTTTTTTTTTTTTAATTTTTTCCCCCCGTTTTCAAAGCTGCCAAGTTTGGCGTGCAAAATCTGTATACAATATAAAGACATGCCAACCTTACAGACCATGCAACCTCAAAGTGTAGGAAACTTAAAAAAATATATTCATATATATTTATATATATATTTATATATATCAATGCCCATAAAAGACCTGGGCCCAAAAAGTTTACAAAAGGAAGAATGGAATGAATACATGACTGAGACTAATAAAAAAGGAATGTTCCGTATCGAAAGTAAAAAACAAATGGTTACTCGTGTACTGCCAGCCATGCCGGCGGGGCCGTGCCGTGACACCGGCACCCGAAAGGAAGAAGCTGTCGGCTCAAAAAGGGAAAAATGCCTCAAAACAAGGGCTCCTCCTCCGCTGTGCTGGCCTGGGCCATGGGCACAGCTTGGAAGCGGATCCACGTGGGCTGGGATGGGGAGGAGACGAGCTCCGGAGCCTCGGGAAGCCCTTCTCTGCTTGGGCAGGCTCAGAGAAATGATGGCAAGAAACGAACGTGGCATCCTGAAAGCCACGGGAGGCTGGTTTTGTAAGAAACCAGCCCGGCACGGCCGGCTCTCAGGAGCTCAAAAAGGTTTGCCCCAACAGAGAGTGGAAATACAAAACCGCCAGGAAGATCTGACAACAGAAATGCTCATGTAAACGTGGTCGCTGCCCACAGCTCAGAAACGGCCAAAGGAAAATGGAAAGTCAAGTCACCAGATCCTGCGGCCAGGTTGACTTTAGATCACAGCAGCAAAGTGGTCATTGGAAAAAAACGGCGTCTGTGGGCACAACCGTGCGTCCACACGGGAAGGCTGCGTGCAGAACGCGCCCAGGATGGTCCTAGTGACCAAAGCTATTCGTGACTTAGAAACGTACTTGGGTCTGCAAAACTCAAATACAGTAGTGTCTGGTTTTTCAACTGCATTATAAACTGAGAAACAAAAAAACAAAAGCCTCTTGCATTTGCTCACACGTATGGTATGCTTCAAATTCCTTCCACAAGCGAGTCTTGAATGGAATGAAAACAGCCCCTTCAAGAACTGGAAAAGAAGTTACGAGAAATGACCCCGTTGGTTCTCCTAAGAACAGAATAAAAGAAAAATCTAGCCTTGGTTGTTCAGACGAGGGATCTGTGCTATCCTACGCTGCTGCAAGAAGGTACACACTCGCCAATCTGGTCTCCTCTGAGCTGCTCGCCTCTTCCTTGAGCCAGGGATGAGGGGCTGCTCCTGGGGCCGCGTTCCAGCTCGGCTTGGAGAAATCTCTCAGGAAACAGTTCTTCAGGCAGCTCGAGTTGCAACTTCTTCAGAAAGAAGAGGAGAGGGGAAGAGTACGTGGGGTGTGCGTGCGTGCGTGTCTGTGTGTCTGCGTGTCCGTGTGCGTGAGAGAGAAGATGCCAGCTGTCCCACGAGTGTCTGACAAGCTTTCTGTATGATAGCTACTTAAAGCCGCGTGGAATCCTCGCTGCAATCCACATGGAGGATAAATACGTCACCCATTGTAATACTACTATGTTGAAGGTAAGAAAACTCCTTATTTTCTTTACAGAGCTACTATAACAGAACTGAGGAAATATACAGTCGGCGGTATTATACAAAAGAGCTCATTGCATTCCCTCCTCCTCGTTAAACGCACGCTTTCCAAAAATAAACTCTGACGATCTGCAACAATTCCTTACGCCTGCAGAAAGCTGCTCACTGTACAAAAGACTTAAAGGGGGTGGTGTGGGGGGGGGGGGGGAGGAGGGAGGAAAGAAAGAAAAAGAAAGAAAATAATGTACAAGCAAGAAAAAAATGGGAGGAGAAAGGTTTGGACACTATTGCCATTCGGAAACAAAACCTGCCAAATAGAAAACAAATGTCAGATTCACACAAACAAGGCTTCTGTAGGGTTTTGTGAAATATCAATATAAAAATCAACAGCAAATTCATAGTCTTTGCTATAAAAAACTCATTCTTTTTTTTTTTTTTTCTCTTTTTTTTTTTTTTTTTTTTTAGAAAAGGATCATAACTAAAAACCTTAAATTAAAATACAAATGTTTAGGGTAGTTGCCCAGTGGCTAACGTGTTGGCAATCTGAAAACTTTCCAACCTGTCGTCTGAAAGTCCTCAAGTTTCAACCTGGATCCTTTTCCAAAAGCACCTCAAACATTCCAATTCACAAATCTGTCCCTAGGGAACTTTCAATGGCTACTGTTATAGTATGCATTTATTACATATATTTTTCTATAAATGCATTATAAATATTTTATCAATAATTCATAGGAATCCGGTTTCTAAGCTTGGAATACATTTGGAATATACATTATACACATATATATATTTATACCTAACAATTTAAGCAATATCTCATGCTAGTTGCTTTTAATAAAAAGCATTCCAGTCTTAAACCTGCATTTGTGTCTAATACATGCTTCAACAACCAAATTGATAAGTTCAATTACTAGATAATGTAGAAGAGAGAAAACGTTTGAAAATTTGATTTTAAAAATGGTTGAATTTCAAAGACCCAACAGTATTTGCCACTTTCTTGGCAACTACCTTAATTTTTTCTTTTTCTTTTTCTTTTTTTTTTTTTTTTGAAACAGCAATGAAAGAAAACAAAACAAATCCAAACTTGTAGACAGTTTTTGGAGACGCTCTGTTCAGCTGATGCCTGCTTCCCACCATCATGCCAGCACAAGCCAAAGTCTTCCTTCCTGATGGCAGTTCTTGGCTTTCCAACCAGAGGAAAAATATTCACGAACTGCTGTGTTTTCTTTTTTTGTGTGTTTTTTGTTTTTTTTTGTTTTGTTTTGTTTTGTTTTTTTTGTTTTTTACTTAAGGCATTGTTCCTCAAACTTCAAAAATCCAGCTGCACCATATCCATCAATTAAAAAAAAAGGCACAAACTCATCTTCAGATGGCTTTGGAGACAATAAAGCCGACTCCATCTGGGCTACCGTTTCCTTTTTTTGTGTTTCCCCCCTCTCTTTCCCTTTCCTTTAGATGTAAGACCAGTCCTCTTTCCCTGTCCCTCCCCATTAAAAATACACCATCTCACATTGTTCTGGTTTCGACAAGAGTGTCGTTGACTCACAGGCAGGCAAGAGCCATTTAAAAAATCCAAGAAATGAAACTACAAGATGGGTCACAAGTGGTTCAAGCGGAGATTGCTGAATTGTGGGTAATCAAATTGTAAGCACCAGTTTCACGTTAAGGTTTGTTTCTTTTATTTTCACGTGTGTGTTGTTGAATCTTTGACTTTTTGGCAACTCTGCCAAAGACTTCACGGGCGTCGTTCCCCTTTCCACTCCCGGTGAGGACCAGAGGAAGATTGCCCAGCGTTGTCAGTCCTTTACTGCTCTTCACCAGCATTTTTCATTTTCAGCAAATATATACTGTAGACGCATATAGATATGGAGAGATTTTTCGGTTGCTTTGCTTTACACCTGGTTGTCCTTCTGTATTCTGGAAAAAACCATGACAGGACGCAGGAGTAACAAGAGAAAGCTTCTTGGCAGAGCTTCAAGACGAAGACAAACAAACAGGAGAACTCCAGCTCGAAGATGAATGCTACAGGGGAGGTTCCTCTTCCATGGGTTCATCATCGGGTCTGAACAATTTCACAGCCAGGCAGGGAGGGAAGAGGGAGGAGAGAAAAGATGGTTCAGCATGAGAGCCGGATAATTCGTAGCACTAAATCTCACACCTTATGTTCCTATTACCTTCCCTGTAGGGTAATTTTGCTCAGCTGGCTCACCTAGAATTAAAACTTGCCTCCAAAAAGGCTTTTTTCAGACAACGTGTTTTCACTTGTGCAACTTCAAAATTTTTGCAGCAAAATTTATTTCCTCTCATGGTCCAAAAACACATTCTGCTCTGACTGGAGCAGAGGAATCAGGCACAACACTAAGGTAACATCTGGGGCTCGTGCAAGTGAACTTCTCTTGCAGCCCAGGTCTTTAGAGAATGCATGAAAGGAAGGAGATGGGTGAATGCATGTGCAATGGGTAAAAGGCGAAGATTAACCCAGTAAGCTGCCCCCATGGCCACCTGTGATGACAAAAGCAACTCACCGCTTCTCAGCTGGCTTCACGCCTACCGACAGAGATGCCATGGCTGTCACTGTCTCAGCCTCTTCGTTCTCACACTTCTGTGCCTCAACCAGGGAATAGCCCACTGTGGAGGCATAGCGCTGGAGTGAATGCCAATACTTGCCTGGGGAGAGGTGAGAAAAACAGCAGTTAGGGCACCTGCATCAGGATGGGTCAAGTAACCTGTTCAAAGAATCACAGAATACATGGGTTGGGAGGGACCTTAATGGGATCACCCAGTTCCTCCTGCTGTGGGCAGGGCTGCCATTCACTAGGTCAGGCTGCTTACAGCTCCACCCCACCAACCTTCCTATGCCCAGTAATACACAGTTGAGAACTGACTGGGGAGGACACACCAGGCTTATGCAAAACACAGTCTTAAGCCATACTTGCTGTCACTTCCAGGCCTGCCTTGAAGCCCCTACATGTGGAGGGTACTTCTGGGTGCACAAGCCAAGGGAAACCCCTTGGAGCCTTCCAGGCTGGGGGAAGTGGTGAGATGGGTTCCTCTCTCCTGCTCACAGCTCTCTGTCACGAGCTCTGATATAGCAGGAGATCACTGCTGACCCTTATGGTCAAGTAGGCTGCTGTGAGAGAGGCTGCTCTGTTCTCTATGTAGAAAAATCCAATCTGCTTTCTACACAATATCAAAAGCAACATCCAAGAACTGCCAAAACTCCTATTCTTGCCACATATGAATAAACAGTGCTGCAATTCTGCTGTGTCTTGACGACCTACGTTTTGAATAAATGTTTGTCTTGTTTTGCTATGTAAGCAAGCATACAATTAGCAGGACATATTTCAGCAGAAAACTGTGCAGCAGGACAACCAAGGTATTACCCGTCTACAAGGGATAAAACCCTTGTTCATAAAAAAGAACTAAAAGTGGAGGAGGGAGGCTAAAGTAACAGATTTCCACAGCTGGAATCACACAGGAAGAATGGAGACGTAACAGCTCTCCTGGGCTAAGAGATGTTTTGTAGGGGAAAACATGCTTTAATAAAGCATCTACAAAAATGAACCAGTTCTCTCCCCCAAAGACAACTAGGATGTCAAATCAGGGCTGAATCACTGGCTTGCAATGAAAGAAGCTCTTCTCCTTTGGCTATGGAAGAAAGGTGACCTGATGGACTTACTTAAAACCCCTCTTCTGACTTGCTTTGCTCAGTTTAATGGAAAAAAAAAGAATAAAAGTCACTAGTTGACTCAAGGTGTCACATCGCTGCTGAGCATTTGAGTCAGCAGAGTGGCTGCTGGAAATGGAATTGAAATTTCTAAAGCTACCGGGCATTTCTGAGGGGGGGAAATCATTTGGCCTTTTTTAAGCTCTACTTTATTCCTATAAAGAGGAGACTAGCCTCCCTCCAGTTCTATACCACAAGTGTTTGAAGTGGGAAGATGTCAAGACCTAGCACAGTGGGATTCCCATGTTATTCAGACTCTTTTCACTCCATTCCTCAAGAATATCCCCAGGAAACCTTTAACCACAGTGATTTTAATCTCAACTAAATAAACCCACAATATTAGCAGCTTCATGCAATGTTCTTTCATCCCTATCCACTCTTCACTAATGAATGCAACAATGCATGATGAGACTCGTGTTAGTCAGAGATACTTGAACTGCTTCTGAAGATATAAGCACCCACGCTGAAGTGTAGGACAGTCTGTCCTCTACAATGATTTTAAAGGTTTTACTGCACTGGCTTTAATACTAATTCCCCCACTGAGACCAGAACAACCTGCTCAATGACCAGGGTGCCTCCCAGCTTGCTCCACCTTCCTGAACACGAACTTCTGCACTTAACAGCTTCAACTTGTGCCAGCCAAGCAGCGGGCTCTGCAGACAAGAGCACTGATACAGTCCTCAAGAGCCAAACCACCTTCCTGAATTGACTTTTCCCTGTGCACCACTCAGTAAATTACTGCGTGTACAGTAAGACCAGTTGGTGGCTGCCTAAATCCAGTCCAGAATGCAGTGACGATCCACAAAGTAGGGTGAGGGTATGCAGTGGTCTGAGGTTGAACACGGAGCTGCCAGGACGATGAAGAATTGGAACGTGCACCCTTGCAGGACAGCCCAGCAGGGAACCAGCTCTGTGAATGGGCTATACTCACTGTGTATCTCAATTACTTTCTCCATTGAATGCACCGCATTAGCGTTTGCTCTCTGCTGGAGAACCTTTTCTGGAAGAGGGTCGAGCTGGAGAGGGAGAGGAAGAATGAAGAAATGTTATCTCAAGCTACAGACCAGGCATTAAGCATGATTTAGCAAACAGCTCTGCCACATCAAGCTTCTACCCCATTCCCCTGATTCCTATTATCTGCCTTCAATTAAATATCCAAAACAGACAGACTTCCTTAGACAGACTTTCTAAGTGCTCCTGCGATATTCCATGCAGCCTCCCCTGCTCCAACACTCCTCCACAAGCACAAAATGCCACAGCCCTGGATGGAGACTGTTTGCCATGAGCAGAAAAATAAGGCAAGTGCTGCTGTCTGTTTACACACCATGTAAGACTAGGGCTCCGGACTGCCTTGTGCAAATTTTTCACTATTAATAGTGTGAAAGGAAAATAAAAGCAACTGAAAAATACAACAATGACCACACTTCTTTCTTTCCTCTGAAGAAATAAAAGGGGAAGCTTTTTAATTCCTCTGCATTTACTGACTCAGAGAAAACAGCCGGTTTTCTCACTTGGGGTGGCTTCTCTCACTTTAAGAGGACTGTCTTCTGAAAGGCTGACCTGTCCTTTCTGCCCTTCAGGAAATTATTAAACCTTGTGTTGTTGGTATGATGCCTGCCTCAATTCCCATTGGCCAAGAAGCAACAAAAAAAAGCCCCAACAACAGAGCTATTACTAGACATTTTTTTCTCTAAACTGCTGAAGAATATCCCAAGATACACCCATGTGGCTCCTGCCATCCTTTGCAAAGAGCAGCAGCATTTTAACACTGTGCAGGCATGGCTCTAACAGCAGGCAGGAGCTGGGGCTTCCTCCCTCCGCAGGAAAGAAGCCAGATCTGCAGTCCGGATATATCAATTTATATTAAAAAGAAGAGAATATAAATAATTGAAAATTTTAAAAAGGATCTTCCAAAGGAAGGAGACTGGGTGATGTTGTGTAGAGCACCGATTTTCAATGGCGTAGCAGAGATGTCTGCTTGGTAGGTGAGGATGTCCAGCAGGGCAGCTCCATTTGGCTCACATACGTGGCTGATGGCTGGAGCTCTAGACATCTCACAACTCAGTACTCAAGAAAAACATTTTGGCTGAGTTGATTTTCTCCAAACCCTTTTCTCTTTTTTCCCTTTTTTTTTTTTTTTTTCTCCCCACAAAGAACACACATTCATCACAAAGCTGGATATCCAAAACAAGAAACGCTCGCAGATGTTGACTGTGTCTGAAAATATGCACCAGTGCTCATCCGAGGGTCCTCCTCAACAAAGAAGCAGTCACAGTTTAATAGTTAATAAAAACTGTGGCAAAGTTTAACTGCAACTTCTGACCAAAGCCAAGACAAGCTCCAGCCAAGAGATCTGCTCTAGAGACCAGATGGCAGCCATTTGATAGGTGCTCCATAAGGACTAGAAACTGCTCCGCTCCAGATTTAATAATTAAGGACTGCACTTCTAATAAATTCTTTGCTCTAAAAATAATTCTGGCCAAGGCTAGCTTCTGTATGACATTAAGTGAAGGCGAACGTTATTCCTGGACAAATCTTTAGTAAGAGCTTCCCAGTGCCTTTCGGTTAACGCTGACATAAAGCACACAACACCAGGCAGCTTAGCCGTGTGCTATTTCACAGATGAATCATTTCCACCGTGCAGTACTCCTCCTGAAACAACGCTCACAGACAACAGCCTCACTCATCGCTCACTCGGAAAAGGAAGAAAATACCTCTGGGCATTAGGCAACGTTTTTAAACAACTGCTTATTATCACCTCCCTGTTCATTCAGGACGTCCAGAGTCTGACGCTGGACACATCTCTGCTGCTCGTGCATGAAAAATGGCACAGTCTTTGCAGTGCTGTGAGTGCTGCTGAGCACATCTTGCAGCTCCAGCAGCTCCCATTGCACAGGCACTGCTTGGGGCACCGCTTCCTAACCGGCATAATTACCTCTAAGTGATCCTCCTTGCATTCAGCTGCAATCATGCCAGTATGGAACAACTGAATTTGTAACCAAAGCAACTCAAAACATCCTCAAGCCACCTTGCACAGCTCTAACTCATTTCACATTCAAATAATCTGCTGCAAAGCTCGAGCTCCGCTTTAATTTCCTGGGCAGTTGGGAACTGCCTCTTGCATAACGCTTTTCCAAAGCGGGAGTTTTGATCTCTGCCGGTGAAGGCAGACGCTGTGTGGACTGGCACTGCTCCCCTCATTTCCTACCATTTCCTCACGTAACACAACCAGCTCTCTGCAGCAAGCACACTTCCCCGCACCCGTCGCCGGCCGCAGCTGGCTGTCCATGTGCACGCATGCAGAGCTGCCTAGCACACTGTATATCAAACCCCATCAAAGGGCCGCGGGACAAAGCAACAGCAGTTCCCTCCAACTTTCTTGCATTAAAAAGGCTTTATAAAAGACCTTGATAAAACGAGTGTTTCCTGCTTTTTGATGTGCGGGTAAGGGAACATTATCGTGATATCTGCGCAGCCTTACAGCCCACCTAGGAAAAGTGAGAATAGCTCCATCTTTAAATATTTAAAAGCGCTTTATAGATGTCCCGATGCAGTGATTAAAAAAACAAAGATTTTTTTTTTTTTTTTTTTACCTTTAAGGATCAATATTCACCCTGCTAAATGGAAACACTCAGCCAGCTGACAACAGCCAAGCTATCGTGAATGCTAAGATCTCCCCAGAGCTATGTGCTCCCAAACACATTTGTGGCTCGGATCAAGCACTCCTTTATTGCACGCAGATCCTCACCCCACATTGCAGCCACCCGCCCGCACCACAGTGCTACATTAAGTGAGAGGAATGACATCTTTCACATGTTATTTCCTCAGTCTCTCCTTCAAAGCGCATCCTGCCATTAGAGCTGGCTGCGTCCTTGTTTGTGTGGAGCTGATGGGGTCATCTGTGCTGACAACAGTGCCACTGCTGCCAGATGAAGAGAACTCTGCTCTTCCTCTGCTTGCTGGCTCCTGAGTTTTCGTCTGTCCCAAGGGTTGGTGTGCTGGACAGGTTACCTATGTTGAGTGTCTTATCAGAGCTGTCTGGCCAAGCGCAAGGAATGGATACTCTCTGGATGGTTGGAGATGGGATGCCGGATGACTGAAGCAGATGCTTTTTATGAATTCCAGCTGTTTCACTGATGATGTATTAGACTGGTTGGTGAGGTTTCTTCAGGCACTGTCATCCTTCACAAAGAGTTTGGATACTGAGAGACAAAGCACTCCTTCAAAAGGCTGGCAGTCAGGGAACACAGGCAATCTGTACCTCCTTGCTCCAGCTTCCCAGACCAGAGGAAGGCCACCATCAGTCCCTGCAGTCAGTTGCCACCACAGGCAGAATGACAGCTGAAATTCTGCTTAGTTTCTCTTCTCTGTGCTACTTACTGCACCTTCCTATGCTGACCACAGGGCTTCCATCAGCTCCTGCACTGGGGCTTCTTCAGCAAAGGGAGCCTGGCTGTGCTCTCCACGGCAGGTGAAAGCTTTGGGAGGAACCTCCTCCCTTCACTGACAGCCTTGCAGAACAGACAAATGCCTTCAGAGGTCTGTTCTGTACGAGGTCACCTCAGCAGTCTCTTCGTGTCCATCTACTGCAGCCTTCTGAAACTTGCCCATTAGCACAGGATACTGGAGGCAAACTAAAAAGGCAGCCTAAAAAAAATTTAAACACACTAGCCAAGCCACCTCCGACTTCAAGTCTGAATGGATTCTCCAACACAAAGCTGAACTTCTTAGGCATACGCAGCCAAAGCCTTGTGCTGCTGTTATGTGTGTCATCAACCCTCAACAATTGCTTTGAGCAGATCCAGAGTCCCAACCATACCAGGACAACTGCAGCAGGTAACAAATAGGGACGGTGTCCATGGCTCCAGCTTGTGTTTCTCTGAGAAGAGTACAATTTTCCTAGGTAGAAAATCAATGCAAGGCACTTTTGCAGTCTACTGTACCAGCCCAAGACTCAGCCACTGGGATGACTGTGGTTGTCCTTCGTGTGAAAAACGTGTACAAAAAAGAAAGAGGCCTGACCCAAACAAACAATTTGTTCAAACTCATAGCCCACAAATTATAAATATGCTTCTTGAACAGAAGTATATGCAGAGGTAGAGACACAGCAAATGCACAAGGTTCCCAATCTGAACTTTTACTGTTGGCAGCTGACTGCTGTACTTGCTGCAGTATTTCTGCAGTGGATGAGCCTGAACACCTTGAGCCCAAAACATGTCAAATGCCACCACTGGGAACCTTTGAATTACCAGTGATGCTGGAAGAAATGGTGCCAGCTACAGTAGATGCTAAAGCCTGGCTGCATCAAGGGGATGACTGAGAAAAGTCTGAATCATTTTTTCTTTAATCCCACCACAGAAAGAAGAGGCAGAGAAGCCAAAGAATCTGCCTCTGTAGGAAAATATCCCAACATTTCCAGAAACCAGAAACTAGACTTCCTTTGTGTACTTCTCTGCCTTTTTCTTATCTTGCAATCAAACACCCCGGCTTTTCCAGCCAACTTCTATAAGAGTTCTTTCAAAACAGCAATGAGCAGAAGGTAGGAAATAAAACGTTGAGGAAAAAAATAGAAAAGAAAGCAGCATCAAGCATGCTGCGCAACGGAGCAGATATACTGGCAGGGGGACTGCAAAGAGAGGGGAAGGTGTGGACAATAACTTCAGAAGTAAATGAAACTAATCAGTGACTTTCTTAGGAGCACAGTGCAAACCACTTGGATTAAGGTGCGGCACATTCCCTGTTTTGGAGAACGAGAAGCCCACATCTGATGGCACAACTGGAAATTCGGCAGGACGAGGGGGCAGAGGCTGTGGCACCTGGAACGTGCCCCCAGGCACGTGCCACCAGGAGGCCACGGCAGGATTTTTCGTTTCTCTGTACCTCGTTTCCCAGCAAAGCAGAAACACATGCTTCTGAGGCATCGCAAATGGCAGTCAGGTCGTGGCCTCCTTCGAGGGCCAGGACGACGCGGCCTCCGGCCAGGCCCATCAGCTGCTTCGTCAGGTACCCAAAGCCTGCGAGGGGAAAAGAGGAAATGCGAGAGAAGGGCAGAGGTTGTTGCTGGAATCAGGCTCCTGGCGAAGGATCAAAGAGTTATAAAAAGGAATTACATCATATTAAAAAACCACAAGGGATCTGAGCGGACTAAACGCATAATATAAGCCAGGTTTGATTTTCATACGCTCGTTTCAGAATTCCAGCCACGCTTCCCTGCTGGAGCGGTGCGGGATGGATCCACAACCCCTGGGCCGCAGCAAGCATCTCGCTGGAGGTTATCCCAGGCACTGAGGGGCAACGCAGCCCCCCAGCAGCCCCCCAGCAGGCCCCAGGCTCGGGGTGGTGGCAGAGGCCAGGCAGGGAAGGGGAGGAGGAGGACGGAAGGAGGCTGCCTTCGCCCTGCTGTGCGAGAGAAGGAAAAGGCAAAGTCAGAGAAGTTGTGCAGAAGGCATGGGGGGGAGGAGGGCAAGGGGAACTGGTGAAATTGCTGCCGGTGCTCTCGGTTCTGATCACGGCACTGCGGAGCCGCAGAGATATTTGACAACCGGTCTTTGACAGACGTTTCTTCCCGTATATAATATGCTGTAAAAATTCCTGAGGCACCGGGACTTTGATCATATGACACACAATACATTTCTGCCCTTTAAACAAAACAGAACCAAGCTGTGAGGATTTAAAAAACATGTCCTCAAACCAACCCTCCCCCTCAAAAACAAAAAATAAAAAAATCCAAACGAAAGCGATTTTTTTTCTGCTCTTCATCCATGCTCCCTGCTTTTGTTTTGCAGTGTCTTAGAACTCCTATAAGTGCCTTTGCAAATCAGCAAATTAACAGTGAGATAGAAGATGCACGGCTGTAATGTGCCTGTAACGTGGTACCCAGCCTTGTGTTTTGGGAGAGTAGCAAAGCATGGGAAATACAACACGCAGGTAAACAAGATCTTTTCATTACAAAGTGTTTCTGGATATCTTAAATAAGTTCTCTTGTAAATCTATTCCACTTTATTCTTGTATAAAGTTTATAGGCTCAGCTACCTTACGAAGGTCTGAAGTTCACTGTGCAGAGTAAGTTTCCTGACTGGAACAAACTCTTAAAGAATATCTTTCTGCTTTTTCAAGAAAAACTTGGTTGATCCAAATCATACGGCATCATATAAACCCAGAAGTGCAGAAAAAGGCCAGCCCAGAGCTGAGTGCTTCTCCTATGCAATGCAAAACATGCAAAATGGGCTGATTTAATTGTTACAAGGACAAAGAAAAAATATTTGTAAAAAAAATTTCATAAGGAACCCTGGAGAAAGAAATGGATTCCTTCTAGCTCTCAGAGCAGGGAATTACCTCTTTACATCTGACACTGCCTCCCTTCTGCAATTTTGCATTAAAACAACTATAATTTTTTCAAATGCAGCAGCAGTCTTTTGCATGGATGACATTTGGTCACTGGAAAGTCAAATATGCAATGCTCCAAGACAACAAAGGCTTCAGGCAGACTAAAATAGTAACAAAGCAAACGAAAATGCAACAGAAAATCCAAAAAGTTTGCTATTGAAATGGAAGGTTCGAACCTAGATCCTCACAGGCTAAAACCTGGAAATATTACAGGAAGGTCATCCTGGAAGTAATGCCTCCTGTTTATTTTCATGGAAACCACAACAACACTATTTGAGGAAATTCTCAGTTATGAAACACTCTTTCAGCAGTCACCACTGTTTGCTGATTTGCATGGATGACCTGATTGAGATGTTCCTCACTTCATGACAGCTGTGCACGGCCATCCAGAACGTGGCCCATCTCTCACGTCACAGTCACCACCCAAAGCCTCACATCCACTGTTTGGTTTCCATTAATGTTCAGTAAGTGTCCATGAATGTCAACGGGTGCCATTTTTTCCACGTAGAGGAATTGAATGACACACATTTGCTTCACCCCGATTTCCGTGTCAGACACCAGTCTGTCACAATGCCCCTCTGCTAACATCTGTCATACAGCAACAAAGTGTAATGGAATACTGGTGAGAAGGTTTGACTTCTACTGCCATACCAACACCCGACACTGGTGACGTCCTGGGCCAACATCATAGAATAGGAGGCACTACTTTCGGAGCAACCCTTGCACGTTAATCCCCAGGACAACAAAAATTCACACCGATTTCAGTATTTGCTGTTTTCTAATCCACAGACTTACATTTTGCAGAGAGATTATATCCTCCCAGAGGCGTAGGATGGCCTTCCACCGCGTCAAAACCAGATGACACCAGCACAACATCTGGGGCAAACTCATTGGCAATGGGCATTACGACCGTCCTGCAACAGAAATGAACCATGGCAGACATGTTATTTTGGATCTTGGACAAACGAAGGAACGCTTAACTGATCTTGAACGAGCCCCTTAGAAAGCCTCATGTTGCTTTTCCACAATAGTTTTCCCTTTTTCTTAGATGCTGCACTTCTCATTGCTCACAAGGAAAGGTTGGGACCTCAAGATGCATGCGAGCACTGCTCTGCCTGCTGCCTCGTGCAGCTGTGGAGGGCACTGCCAGGCTTGGGGCTACAAACTTGCTGCTCGACCAGCCCAACAAGGAACAAAAAAACCAGCAGGCAGCACTGAATGGTTATCACAGGCATTGCACAGCTGCAAGGGACAAAAGAAGCTCAACGTGCAAATTATTCCACCTAACTCCAGTCCCCCATCCTCTGATATTTTGTTCTCTAAAACGAGACAGAATTGCTTAGCATCTGCAAACTACTGCCTGTTAGGACCAGTACTTCAGTGAGACAAGAGGTCCAGCTTCTCAGCAAAATGCATTTTCACTCTGGTCTCTCTCTTCAACCTACCAAATTTCTGTTCAAAATCCACGTGAGGTTGCTAACATCCCATTTCCCACATCAAGATGCCTACTAAGCAAAAAGGAAAAGTTCAGCAGAGAACAAGAATTGCTTCTTCACCTAATAGCTCCAGCACAAACACAGCAGAACTGAAATTAAAGCAGTGAAAAACGTCAAAGCAACAGAGCTTCTGAATAAACATGAGAGAGACGCACACAATCTTTTCTGGCAAGGTTAGCATTCCGAAACACAGACTTATATACCAGAATGCATCTCTGTAAGCACGACAACTGCACCTTTATTGATGAGAGCTTGACAGAATACTCTGAAAACAAGGTTCTGTTTGCCCCAACGCCAATCTGAGCTCACGCCATTTCACCCTCTGCAGAACATAGTTTTAACAGAGCTTTAGCATCTCCCATGCAATGAGCTACTTGCCGTGTTAATCAAACCCAGCAAGTCATCTCCAATGCAGAGCAGAGCCCTGGTGTGGGCAGGGACACTGGTACCCAGCATACCATGTACCATCCCAGGTCTGGTGGACGTGCTGAGGCAGTATGTGCAGTCCCAAAAAACCCTTCAAGCTTTCATTTTTGTCATCTTCCTGGTTGCCACTCTCCATGCACAGAAACACAGAAATCTGTGCCATCTACAAAAATAAAACAATTCTCTGCTGGTGGTTACAAGTTGCAGAGCTTTTTGGGCAGCATTCACCCTCTCTGTGCTGAGAAAGTTTTTAATTCTGACAGAGTCTGGAAGAGGAATTTTAGTTTTTTCCTCCAATGGCTCGACTGCCATATACTTCTGTCCTCAGGGAGATTATTATGTAAGGAAGACAAAATAGTGCATTTTTCTGCTGATGGCTTTACAGTCGACAAAGCATGCTTAGTGGAACCCACAGACATCTTAAGTGGAAACCACCTCCCTGACAAAGGACTAAAGCAGCACTTTTGTAGCAAGTGCACGTGGCAAAGGGCTTTTTTTTTTTTTTTTTCTTCCTTTTTTTCCCTGAGCTTTGAAGTACTGCTGAGCTATTTAATTTATAACCGTAGCAGAACTGCTAAAATCATCAGATTTTTTTCCAAAGCTATGGAAATGCCGTGAGAGATGCTACAACCTCAGCTGCCATAACACCATTGGTGGAGCAAACCCAACCCAAAGCCTAAACCCAAACCCGAGCTGTGGAGCTGCATGGGCTGTCAGCACCCAGCCAGCACTGTGCTGTGAGGTGATGGCATCTTTTTGGCTGTGGCACAGCTCTCTATGCCCAGTTCACCTGAGGGAGATGCAGGGCATGATGCTCAGCTGTGAGCAGGTCAGATGCCTTCTAGCAGCACAGGCACCACACAGGCAGTGCCTGAAACCTGCAAAGATTTCAGGAGAGAAAAAGCTCTGCTTGCTGTTTGGAAGTAAATCACATTGGTGATAGTTAGAAGCAGCCACACTGCAGAGGAAAATGCCTTCTTTGCTCAGATCCATCACAGTAAAGCTAAGTCCCCAAGGGAAAACAGCTATTGAACTTCAAACAAGCCTATTTTTTTTGTCCTGATGACCATACTATAAAAAAAATCCACAGATTGGAGTTACTACCAAGGTAAGCAAGGTGAGCAGTTTTCTCCAGGACTTTTAGCTAAGGTGGCTGCAAAGTCATTCATTCAAGAATGAAACATTTCATAACACTGAATCTTCCCTTCAAGCCACACTGATTGGTTTTAAAGTACGAGGGTCAAACATTTAAATTTCCTATATTTTGGAAGATTCTTTTGCTTGTGGAACGTAAATTAAATCCTTTCATTAGACTCTGAATGTGGCTAAGCTGCATCGCTGTGCATTAACAATAACTAATACCGATGGCTGCAAACAGCAAAAACTGCTGATAATGTTCTGCAAACACTTCAGGGGGAAAAAAACACAATTTTCCATCATTTTCCAGAAGACTGAATAATGCTTAGTCTACTACTGGCCAATTCACCAGTCAAATGCTTAATAAATGACAGGCAGATTAAGCAGTTCTACAGAAGATTTCTCCAATGCTCTCTTCCCACTGCTGGCCATACAACACCAGGTGCCAACCCCTGCTCAGGGGCTGCTGGGGATGAAACAGGCATCAGAGAGCATGAAATCTACAAGACAGAAGCAACAATTTGAGGCAAAACAGCACCAGGTTCCCCCTCCCAATTTGTTGCTTCTGGGATGTTTTATGCATAGAACCCCTCCACTCCACCAACTCAGCTCCCAGACTTGCTCAAGGAGGGACTTCTCAGCCCTGGTTTTGCTTTTGCTCTGGGTGTCTGAAATAAAACCAATGTGAAAGCAAGCCCCACACAGAATTATAATGGTGTGAGAGACCAGTGTCGGAGTAGGTAAAATTAAGATGAAAAGACACTTTTCTAGAATTATAAGGGAAAGGTAGGGTGGTGACACACTGGAACAGGTTGCCCAAGGAGGCTGTGGATGCCCCATCCCTGCAGGCATTCAAGGCCAGGCTGGATGTGGCTCTGGGCAGCCTGGGCTGCTGGTTGGTGACCCTGCACATAGCAGGGGGGTTGAAACTAGATGATCATTATGGTCCTTTTCAACCCAGGCCATTCTATGATTCTCTGATTCTATGATCATGTTTAGAGAAAAGCTCCTGCATGTAAGACGAATTGATCTCACTAGTAACTGCTGTTCTCGTGCAATAAGGAGCTAGGCACAGCCTTCGTGTTGCTTCACCAGCTCTCCCAGTGGGGTCTGCACACTATGCTTTTATACAGACCTTGAAAATGCCACGGGAATTCATAGGAGCAACCACTGTTTCTTGTACTACAAGTCAGGGAACAAAAAACTCCAGTAAAAAATAAAAAAAAAAAAAAAAGAAGAGTTTTACAACCGTTTGTTTCTATAACTACGGAATAACAGCAATGAATACCAAATAACGTTTTGATGAGTTAGGGACTTCTTAAATTATATACCCTGCATTTTACGCGTTAGACTTTAATACATTTTCTGCATAATCTGTGAGATCTGTATTGCCCGCATACTTTGGTGGTGACTTCAGCCGTGGAACGTTTGCGCAGTAAATGGTCAGCTAAATTATAACGTAATGCTGCCGAGGGCTGCAGTTAGGACAGTGTGGAGGAGTGCCAAGCTCACAGACAGCTCCCCAATCCCTTCCATGGGCCACTCGGGTACCCCACCCTGCTTCCCCCCCATGCACAGCAGCTGGGATTTCACCCCGACCTTCTGCAGTGATTTGGGAGCTCTGAAGACAACGTGCAGCAAAATGCAAGGCACGGCCGCTCTCTGCTTCAGTGATAAGTTTCATTGGGAGTTATTCATTCATCAGAAGAATAATTCGTGAAGACAATTATCTTGGTTATTATTTCATTAGAGAGCTTGCTTTTATTCAATCCATACACCAGCTTATCCCAAAACAGAAGAATAAATAGAAAGCGTGACACTGGCTTTTTCTTAATGTTTTTACATAGAAAGATGGCTTTCCTCCCTAAAAGTGAACAAGCATGTGAAGGGTTAAGGCTTAAAAAAAAAAAAAGAGAAAAAGTATATCAGTATCTTTGCCTAGCTCAAAGGATTTCCACTGATTCCTCTGCAGACTTCAAAGCCTCACAGTTTGGCATTTGGACTGGTTTGAATTAAAGCTCAGTTCTCCACTGTGAGTTTCCAAGTTCATGGTGAAAATGCCTGCTGCTTCTGGAGTTCATTATGGCCAATTTTCTTATCTTTTCTTCATCTTAGGTTTGATCCCCAGCAAATGCAACGTGGCATTCGATGGGGTGGAATAACAAGGTGCTGCCTTGAAGGCATGCATTGTCTCAAGGGGCTAGCGCAAGAAAAGAAGAAAAAAAGGATATATGACCCATTCCCTTCACTTTCTAACTCTCAGGGGACTATAAATTGCAAACTTCAAAGCATTATTTTACATTAAAATCAATAGAAAGATTCAGGAAAAAAATGTTTTTCAGAGAAGCTGGTTAAGATTTGAAAAGGTCACTTGATAATGTATTATCATGACCGATCTTGGCAGAAGATTAAAAAAGCTTCCAATCTAACTTATTGACTGAAGGTGTGCACATGAGGCAGGCTACGGGAGGTGCTACCTATGAGGATGAGTCACAAAGCACTTCGTTTCCCAGAACCCAAAAATAAGGGCTGGGATTAGGTACAAAATCTGCTTCTCACATAACTGCAGTCTCTGGGCAAAAAGACACCAGCATCTATTAAGGAATGGCTGGCAAAGGTCTTGTGCTGCAGACTGCTCTGAACAATTTTCCAGGAGCCTTGAAACTCAATTAATATTTAATAGCAAGTATGTCACTCAGTTGCCAGCTACAGGTTCTCTTTATAATGCAGATATCAGTCTTGTTGACTGCTGGGATAAACAGACTTCCACTTTGGAAGAAAGTGCTGCTTTCCTGTACCAGGAATAAAACATCAAGACAAATGAGAGTTATTTGACTAGATGTTATTTTAAATTGTATACATTCTTTGAAGGCTTTTTAATGGCATGCTGGAGGGTAAAAGCTCTTTTTGCTCAATATAACGCAATATGAACACAGGCACAGCAAAGGACAGAAATAACGCTCCCAGATTTCACACATGCACTGCTATCCCAGGAAGGCAATATTCCATCTGGCTATTGCCAGAAATTTGCATCTCATGTTTTGGCAATCATGTGTCCCCCTGAATTTATGCAGGGTGTTTGCCAGAAGTGCACTAAATCTGGTCTGAGGACAGAAAACCACTTCAACTGGTAATTGTTAAAAAGGATGCAAGCTGGGGAGGCACGAGGCATGTGGGGGGACAGGGGGTGAGCAGGGCAGTCTCAAGAAAAAATGAAGCCCATGTATCCGCAGGTCAGGGAATTACATTCCTTCTCCTGGAAAGAGTATCAGAAAAGAAAATGTAGTCTCACACAGGACTCTATTCATTACTCTTCTGCTTACCTCTCCACCCAGAAAAACTGTCATTTTATTGTGTTATTCCACTGCTTCCATAGTTCATCTTAATACCTTCCTTTTCCCATTCTCTGTGGGTCTGGGAAGCAAATGCATCACATCCCAGGCTTGCAGCAAGGCCCCAAAACACCAATGTTGTACAATCACCCCATCAGAGCGTTTTGGCCCATTGCTGCCCGGAGCTTTGCTTCACACACCTCTTCTGATGATATTGACATGAGGAAGAAAATAAGGGTCAAATAAACAATTCCCTGCTATCCCCAAGTATCACGTGTGAGTATGACAGTAAGAGCAGTGGGACACAAACAACTAGGTCAAGAAACAGCTCCATGCCCTGCTCCATTTGCAGACAATGCCAGTTTTCTGGAGCACACTTGAATATGCTTGTACAACCCAACATCATGATTTACATTTGGCATTGCTCTTACTGCTCGTCAAGGAAGACATCCCAGCAACACATTAATTTAACTCCACAGCTTTGCTTACCTCCATTCAGTGAGCATAACACTTATTTGGTAGAAAACCATTAAAACATGCCCACTTCCCTTTGATAGGAATCCTCAGGAGTGAGGTAGGGTGGTAGTCACAAGCAGAGCTCATGTAAGGGAGGCAATGCATGCCAGCATGCCTAGAAGTCATGCACCATCATGTATATCACAGTAATGATGCCTTAAGCCCTGGCACAGCTGCACCCTGAAGTTCCAACTCATGGTAACTCATGAAAATTATTTGGGGTTCCCTTCCCAATCCAAGTGTATTTATGCACAGATACATTCATCCCAAAGATTTTTAGCAACAACAAAAAAGCTCATTCATATCAGTAGACTTTATATAACAGTACATCAGTCAGTGCTAAGCAGTGAGTCCGTCAATCCCCCAATGTCACAGACCCACTTCTTGTGGCTAGAAATATCCTCTTTGCTTAATTCAGCTTTATTCCATGTGGCACTGCAACTAGATGAAAATCCAGAACTCCTTAACTCGTGATTAACTTCACGACTGCACAAGATAAATGAAACCCAATTTAGGTGAAAAATATGATTGCAAGAGCAAAATTTCAATATTACCTGAAAGCAGTTAAGTATTCTGTGTCTCCCATCGGTGGATCAAGGCCACCAGTGAAGGCCATGTTAACATTGAACCCAACTCCTGCTCCTGTGCCAACCTGAAAATGGGAAACGGTTCTCTTAATTATACATGTAGAAACAGCAAACTCTGGCAACACCTTTCTGCTGCATCATGATTCTTCCAGTTGAATAAGGATTTTGATCCAATAGCTGGGTGCTAGCTAAGTTAATTTTTCCTTCTAGAGTGACACAGTCCCCAAAGCAAGGATGAAAACAGAGCTCCTCCATGCTCACAAATGTCTGATGCTTGTGGGAGCTGCAGGCAGGCTGCTCACCCAAAAAACACCTCATCATTAAGTGGATCCTTTTCCTCTTTGCATTACATGTAGTTTCTTCCCTTAATTTGTTTTCAGTTTTATTTAGAAGTATACCTTTGTGTCTTATTATAGTTGTAACTAGGGAATAAAACAATCCAATTTTAATCAGAGCGAGCTCCCCCTCTGCTGGGGAAAAATATGATTCACAGACATTTCCACTGCTAGAGGGACACGAGTGCTAAATGCAGCTGCATCCCCATCCTTGCCCCTACTGCAAACGTGCCTCTCCTTCCATCCACTCCAAATAACAGAGGAAGGTGAGAAGTTAAAAGTAAACCAGAGCCTTCTAGTAACTCATTCGCCAGGAAGCAAGGTCATGCTGCCCTTCATCTGGAATCCTAAAAGCCTGTGCTCGGTGCCTACGTTGGGTGGGACCTTGCAGATGTCCCCTTGCAGTGCTGCTGCCAGCTCAGCACAGGGCTCTGCTCTCCTATGCACCACAGTTTTGTTTAGGTCTCAGCATGTAAAAGAAACCTAACAATTAATGGTGTTATACAATACGCAGCCAGGTAGTTCAGCTAAATAAAGCTGCAGAAGTAGGTCTCAGAGCTTTGTGCATTCTGAGGCAGAAATCAAGTGCCTGCTGCAAAGAGCTGCTGTGTATTCACTATACAGTAGTGCACAAGCAGAGTCATGAAGGAACTATCTCACTACATTTCAGTTTCTTTAGAAATCTAAATGGAAACATCAATGCTTGCTGGATGGGAAAACATAAAATGGGAATTCTAGGAGTTTTAAGATGTAATCTAAAATGCCTCAGAGAACACAGAACTACGCATTTGATAGAATTTAACTCTGATAAATCACACATGAAGGATGATAATGGAACATTCCTTAGGCACGACCCATTTTCAGTTTAAATTCATAACAAAACTACAGCTCAAATGAACATACTGTACCTTACAGGCCAGGGAAGGTTTTATCGACTACATACTTCAAATTGTGATTGTTCCTATGCCTCCTATTTGCAGCATGCTACATTTCAGCCTGGAGGGTGAGGAAGGATGTGATGGATGTAGTAGCATCTGTCTGGAGAAGAAAGGGCTGCCACCTTTGCTTGCCCAGCCCTTCTGCAGCAGTGTCTGAGAAACCACCAAGAACTGGTGGACTTGGCCCAGCAGCACTGGTGGCAGCTGGAGATTAGCACTGGTGTCTGCTGGGCCAGGAGGAGGAGCAGACGGGCGTGAGGGTTGTGCCAGGAAAGCTGACCACTGTGCTGGTGGCACAGCCACGGACCAATCTATTCCTCACACCCACATCCTACATCCATTAAGGGAAAGGCAGGAAAAGTACGCAAAGTCCTGTTCTTTGGAGACGAAAGCACTGTCTGGGACAGCTGGCAAAGGGCTCTGGAACAGGTTGTCCCATCGGGACTGGGCAGCCTGACTTCATTCACTCCTTTCAGCTTGTTTGCCAGAGTGTGTGCTCTCCTGCCAGCTTCCATGATGCCCGCAGCTGTGAGGACTTGGACAAGAACACACCGAGCCCACAAATGCGGGCAATGCACTACTAATCAGACACTAACAAGCAGAAGGGGGAAAGCAGTGACAGAAGCTGCCCTCTAGACCCAACTGAGGCAGACGGCCCCAGAATTTTTGGGGGCACCTGAACTGTAACCCTGAGAAGGTCCTGTTGGACGTGGGAGGCTGCAATGCAGATCCATGCTCTTACCTCATCAGGAGCACCACTGCCTGGAAAGAAGTTCCCATCATCATAGCGATGTAGTGAAATATAAAGAACATTAGGATCATTGTAGAAAGCTTGCTGAGTACCGTTCCCATGGTGCACATCCTTTGGGGACAGAGATTGCATTATATGAGGGAGGTTCGTGTCTCATTCTAAATGGAGACTAAAAGCATCAACCTGGGATTCGGAGGGGTTTCCTCTGGTGTTGAGCTTCATTTTCTGTGCTTCTCTGAGCTAACTGAAGCAGTTCATTGCAAAAGAGTAATCTGCTTTGCACAGCCAGTTTGTCTACACTTCACATTTAACACACAAGATAAATGGGAGTAAGCACAATTGCAAGCACTTACCTGAGAACAGGATCAATGTAGTTGGGTTTAGAGAATCACATTCATAACTAATCCTGAAGAAGGTTGGGCATGGAAAGGCTGTATTAGTTGCCCCATATTTGCACCTTTAATCAATCAACAGGGTGACCACTGGCACAAGTACCCTGCGAAACTGTCAGGTCTAGCTCAGTGATGTTAAGGGACACAAACCCATTGCCAAGAACCTCTCCTGCAGTTCTGCTTGGTGCAGAAACGCAGTCCGTAGCAGGATGGGTTTGCAAAACACTCCTTCCTCTGACATTAAAAATAGTTGGTGAGGAAAAGGATGCCCATCCAGTAAGGCAAAAAGACAAATACATCCATTTTAACCTGTGGGTCTTGCCCACAGGAGGTTTGTTGCAATCTACTCAAAACTCTTGGCTGATGCCCAGGGACTCAGATGTCTTCACAGCCAAGAAAAAACAATAAAATGTATCCACCACATTTTCAAATCTACATGTCACCGTAGCAAAATCCCAAGCAAGCTCTCAGAACATTTCACTGTCCTAATCCAACCTGGAGAACACTTCTGACTGCCTGCCCACATGCACAGAGACTGGCCTGGCCCAGAAGCACTACACTGAAACCAAGAGTAAAGCTGTGCTGGACAGCCCATCCCTCTCAGAAACCAGCCCTCACACCTCAGAAAGAAAGCTGGGATGGATCCTAGCAGTTGAGACCAAAAATCTTACACAAAAAAAACCCAACCAAAACAGCACAGATTGCAGTTACCTATCCTTGAGACTGTGTTATGGGCTTGCTTTACAAAGCAACCACTTATTAATTACAATTCTGTTCGGAAAACTATGGACTCTTTAATAAGCTTTTTGTTTTGTTTTGGTTTGGTTTTAACTAAAACCTTTTTTTAAAAAGTATCAACCAAACAAATTTTGGCTTACAGACCACAGACAACATTTTTTCACTGACTTACAGAGCCTGGGTTGGCCTCACGTGAAACCCAAAGAAAACCCCATGAAAAATTTCCACCTGCTCTCCTGATGGTTTACTCACCCAGTCCACTATGAGGATTTTGCTAACATTCAGTCTTTGCTGGAGCAGCTTGGCTGCAATTGCCACGGAGTTAAAATAGCAGAAGCCCCTGGAGGTGATGAGAAGGAAGAGAAAAGAGGAAAAGGAGAGGTGTTAGATATAAGTCTCCTTGGTCCCAGTGCATCTATCATCTGAGACATAACACAGTAGGAAGAAATTTCTTCTGCTTTCACTCTGCTTTCCTCCCTGGAAGATGTATGTGTGCTCAATGAGAAACACAAAATAGCCACGCAGCAGCACGTGCCTTGTGATCTGTCAGGAAATGCTTTCCTAAACCCACTGCAGTGAGATGCTGCTGGGGGCCAGCTGCCCACAGGTAACCCTCAGATCCCCAGTGCTCACATGTAAGAGATGGGGCCAGGGAGGACAAGGCAAGGACAGAACCAAGGCCTGGAGTGCTGAGATGCCATCAGCTGGAAGAGAGGAGATATGCTCACGGAGCTCAGAACTTTATAGTGAAGCACAGAAACTCCACGCACGAAAGTTCAGCACAGTACACAAGTTCAGCACAATTCAAGCATGGGATCCTACAGAATGCATGGGATATCTGGTGAAAACCCTAATACAAACCCTGCTGTTTAAAACACACGTCAGCTGCCTGACTTAACTTTGGCTTTGTGAAGCCTTCCTGCTCTGCCCCTTTCCTCAGTCAGTGTTGTGACCTCAGGACACAGCTATGCTTGCTACACTGCTATTAATGGTATTCTTACCTTCCTCACACTGTGTGAGCCATTAACATTGAGCTTAAAACAACTCACAGGAGTAAATAAAGGCAGCAGCGTTATTCCAAGGCCTGATTGTAATGTCAATTTGTGCTAAGAACTACCCACCCAAAAGCACAAAGAAGGAATTTGCCCTCTTCAAGGGAATTACTGAGAGTTCTGAATATTACACCATTGCACAAAAATTCTGCAACAGTAAACTAACAAACAGCCTTTTTCAGGCTGTAGATCACACAACAGACAAACACTGAAGCAAGATCACAAAGCACATATGCATACTTACATGGGTGTGCTTTCTTCTGCATGGTGACCTGGAGGTCGAACAACAGCAAATCCATTCTACACACGAAAATAAGAAAAGGAAGAAATGAGACAGATAGGAAGGTTCATCTCACAAGGATGGATGCATGCAGCCAGGAGCACTAATTGTGCCTTGTAATTATGTAGTTGTCCTCAATGGTTCCTGCACAGCAGCAGATGATGTACTCCCTTGTTCTGGAGGGGAAGATATCCACATGAATTTTAGGGAAACTGGCTGGTATAGCATTTCCTTCCACTCAGGAAAAAAAAATAAATTCTGCATGAGGTCACTGAGCTGACTGGCCCAGCTGAAGCCAGCAGCAAGACCCTCAGATAACATTGGAACAGGGATTTTGCTTGCTGTTCTGGTTTCTTTCTTCCTTTTAATCAGCACGTAAGAACATTCACCAGGAGTCTGCTGTTCACTTGCTGATATCCTCAAAGATTTTTATGACCAAAGCCAGATGGTGCCATTAAAATGAAGCTTGCTGGATCTCCTGCACAACACAGTCATGATCTGAGCCCTGCTGTTCCCATACACGGCCCTTTTCAAAGCAAAGTGTTGCTTACTGTCATACCAACCTTCAGTTCTCCTGTGGCCACTTTGAAAACAAGCTCAATGACGCAGCCCACAGCCAGGCGAGCAGCACCAGATGAGTGAACTTCATTCCAGATCGTGTCACTGTCGACCTAAGTGAGACACACAGGAACCATGGTTAGCAACAGTGAGGACAGCCAGGAAACAGAGACTCGTGTCTGATACGGAGTTACTTGAACGTATTAAATGTGGGAACTGGCAGAACTGATCTCAGCAACACCAAGGCTAGGATCACCGTCACCTAAAGGTAACAACACCAACGAAGGATACTCATGTGATGCTTTAGGGCCAGTGCATTAACAAGAGGAGGAAATTCAGCACCATATTTTGCAGGTGTCTCTTACCAGCACTTCTACCACCACAACAGTGTTTCCCCTCGACTGCTGGAGGAAACAGAGTTCAGATGAAAAAAGTGGTTTACAAAAGCATTCAATAATCTTGTTAATTAAAGCACCACAAGAGGGATACTTAAAAATGAACTTTTTAACGCCCAGGCTTGTCAGTTGGGTAAGGTTATGCTGACACCAACTTCTCTCGTCCCATCAAAGCTAACAGCAGATCTTCAGAATCTAAGAGCTGATTACAGGCATTTACTTCAGCGCTGAATATCTGACAGCACCAGCATCCTCTACAGTTCCCCCCAGAAGATGTGCCAGCAGGCCAAAGGCACGGCATCCTTCAGGCATTCTCCGTGCAGTTATGCTACAAGATCCTGCCCTAACTGAAACCAAAAGCAGAGAGGGCTGGCTTTTACCACATTCACCCCACCAACTGCACAAAGATGGGATGGGTTTGAAGACAGATGCTGAGATGCCTGTGTAGCTTTTGCTGTCATCCAGCTGGAGGCTGCGGGGGGACAAACGGCACAGGGCCTGGATCTCTTCCCCAGCAGCCTGGCCTGTTTGCAGGATGTGATGAGAGCAGAGCTTGTTTTCTTCCTGCCAGCCCCAGCCCTTGTGAAATTCACACTGCTGGGACTATCCCATGTCAGGAAAGCTCTGCTGTACAGTCCTCCTATCCATCACAGGATAAATGCAGCATTTCTCAATGTGAAGGATCACCAGCTATTTTTCACATATTGCTCCGCGTTGAGAGCGTTTATGGAAACAATGGAGAAGGAGAATAGGAGAAATGGATTATTTGCTTTGTCTGGCAGCCAACCTGCTTACTGAGTTGCGAGGAGATACAAGTCACCCCACACAACACTGAGCCACCTCCTTCGTGGCTGTGCTGAAGGCAGTGGAAATCATTCCAGGCCCATTACTGGGGATGCTTTCTGGCACCATTTGCTCCTAGGACAGTTCTGAAGTTACAGTTAGCCAGTAAAAGTGCCAGGGCTCCCCTGAGTTAACAGGGGACAGAAGTACAACGGGTTTGAGCTCTATACAACACTGCTAGGAGTCATGAGCATGCCTGCAGAAGATGTTGTCTGCAGGTGGCAAACACACCTAACTAAGCAACTGAGAATACCAGTTTGACTTTTGCAAAGCAAATTACAGCCTCAGTGCTGGCAGTGTTAATTTCAGTTCTTGGGGAAGGATGAGGTTGGTAGGACTCTGCTGCCTCACTGCTACCGTGGAAGGGCCACTCTGTGCTGGTTCCATTTTCCTCAACTCGAGGGATACAGCTACGCCATGCAGCCTGGAATGGGCAAATATAACCCATCTGTCTTAGTCTTGAAAGAAAATGCTGCAGGACAGCAATAGAAAGAGGTGTCCTCTCCCTCTTTCCCCTCCAAGTACCAGGTCCCTCACTTGAATGCACAATTTTGCACATTTATTCACCATAAAGTCAGCAAGGAAACAAATAGCTAAAAGCAGAACTCGTACATGACCGGTGCACAGCTTTACATAAGGACCCTCAGATCTCCATTTGTGCCAGCCTTCCCATAAAGCACACCAAAGCCACCAGTGCCCGAGCCAAACACTGCTAAGTTCAGGCAGTACTGCCTGCAGAAACCAGGCTTGTGTTGGCAGCACTCCAACAGGAGCGAGGAGGGCAAGACAGGTTTTAAAGAGATGATTATTGCAGAAATTAAGCACTTAGGAAAAGCATTCTGCCTGCAGCATAGAAGCCAGTCTCTGCCATGCCCAGCTACCCAGTGGGAGAAGGACTGGATCCAGAGAGCCAAGCTTGGCACTGCTTTGTCCCACGCATCTCCACGATAAGGATTTAACACCCAGCCACCTTCCCAGAGAGGATGTCTGGAGACTGCCGGGCCCTAATCCAAGGCAGCACTTCATCATGTTACACTGGAAGTGTCTGAACAGTCCCACTGAAGTCATCAGCACTCTGCAGCAGAGGGGCGTAGGCTCTGCCACGCTGGAAAATCTTATTAATGTGGCCCTGAGCTGAGCTGCACTCCGGCTCTAAAGCTGCTGCTGTTCAGTGCTCGGGCTGCTGTTGACCCCTCCATCATTCCTGAATTCTGAAGTTCATTACAGGGAGATGCTATTTGGCTTTCCCCATCGACAAGCCCTTTGATGTAGCTGCCATCACAGGAGTTGTTGCTGGGACAGCACATCAAGCCTTACCATCTGGAAGGACTTTACAGAGGGAGGAAGCACATTTCTTGCCTTTTGTTGATCTAAGAGTGTGTATTTCTCTTTTTCTCTCCCAAACTGGAGGATTCAACTGCGTCAGAGATACCAAGTCTTCCACATCTGCTGGATGAGGAGTGGATAAGCACGCTTGTTAGCTTGAGAGTAATATCAAAGCCAGAGGGGCTGCTGATTCTGCTTCACGGACTCTCAGGAGAGCTGAGGATCTTCGGACGTGGGAAGAGGGAATTCAGCTCCTGGGACCTGCTGCAGGCTCTAAAGCCTTCACAGCATGCACAATTATTAGAAAATGATGAGGGAAGGTCAGTTTGATGGAGGCTTTGTTTTAAGAGGAATGTCTAAGATGTTTCTGAGCAAAACATGAAAGAACTTTTCCTTCCTTATAAATATGAAATCTTTAAAAATACACATGACGAGCTTCCGACTCACACTGTGCACTAAATTACGTACTGCTAGGCAGCTATTTAAAAAAAAAAGAGGAGGATCTTAAAAAATAGTTCCATTAGAACAAGGAAAACAGAGTGACGGACAGGGGCAAGGGACTGCAAAGCGGAGAGAAACAAAGGAGTTCTGCTCTCCTCTCATCACAGCTCATCCTCACATTCAGGAGACATCAGCACTCAGCATTCACCCAGCCAGGGAGCTGTCTTTACCTTCTCACGTCTCCTAAAGCTCTGGTTAAGTCACTGCTCATTTATTTTTTCTTCTAAGACTCACTATTAAGTTTCTTCTCATTTCCATTTCATAGAATATGGATTTTTTTGGTCTCTGCTCTGCAAGAATGTACTTTGCTGCACGCTGTACACCTGCATGGGTAAAGATTTTTTTACACTCCAAACAAGACCCTGCAATCAAAAATAGGAGAACAAACTCTGGAAGAGATCAAAACCAGTAATAATCGCTAGATTATGGATTCTCAAAGCCTTTAGCTAAATTTTCTTCTCATTATCCCAGATTATCTAACACTCTGTGCATGTAAGCCATAGCTTAAGAAAAGTGTGTGTGCTGCGGAGAAGCGAAGGTAACGGCACTAAATGGAAATACTGCTCTTGCAGATGTTGCTGAAGATCAGTGGGAATAAATGACTGTTGTTTAAATCAGAGCTCACATCTGTTGATATAAGTGGCTCTGTGGTTTCTTCCTTCTCTGCTAGGATCGGGACATGTGCAGGTGGGGAGGTTTGTTAGTGTCAGCCATGACGATGTGAGGGCTTCCTCCTATTAAACAAACTGATGATGAAAAGAACCAAGAGTTTCCAACCACAGGGGAACAAACCTTCCTCGTTGATCTTGCGAAGCTGTGACTTCATTTTAGAAGGGAGATCAAAAGGTGTTAGGTGGTGAACTGATCTGCCCTAAACCTTTTCCTGCTCCTTCAAAAAATTCCTGTTGTAACACTTGTGCTAGCACAAAGACCTCACGAAAATTCACAGCTTCCCTCATCGTTCAAAGCAGAACAAAAAAGGCTGATGTATCTGCTGGCCCCAGAGCACCTGAAAGGCCTGAGCAAGGTTCTGAGCAGCACCACAGCAGCCTAACCCTAACCCACAGCCCTGATGAGGAGATGAGAAGGCAAAGCAACAGTGCCATGTCACTGGGGCACAGCCACTGGAGGTGTAACAGCTTTGGGGGGCTTTCCCACCCCCCCCCCATCATTGTTTCACATCACCTTTCAGGCCCATTTATTCTTTTAACTTACACGACAACCCTGTCTGCAGAAAAAGGACTTGACTTCAAGCTTTCCATCCCATAAATACCATCTGACACCCCCAGCTCCTCTCCTGAATTACAAGAAACAGCAATCACTCAGCTTTCACCCACTCCAGGCCAGGCCTCCCTCATGCCCTCAGGCATTATTTTGCACCCAGCAACACTGCATTTTGTGCACTACCTTACTATTTAGCTTTGTGCTCTCGTGACACCGATATCCCCTGCAGTCAGCTTTTGTCTTCGTGACCCTGAATAAATTCCATCCCATCACCAGCATGTGCTTACAGACCAATCCTTTGCTTTGCAGCATTTCAGAGAACGTGTTGGACTCATTCTGACTGCTGCTCTCTACCTTCTAATCAGTGATGTATCCAAAAGAGGATTGCTCCCAACTTATTCTATGGTAGCCTGATTTTTCAAAACCTTTCTTTTTTTCTTTATGGATCATGTTAGCCCCCTGGCAAGCATTTGCCAGAACAGTATTGAGTGTTCTGGATCTAATCCTCCTTACGAAGCAGTCAGCCAGCTGGAAAGCTGTCTACTGCCTTGGTGAACCATGAATTATTCACTAGGCTGCACTTATTAAGTGACAGAGTCAGAGAAAACTACCCTTCTGCTGAAATAAATCCCTTCTCCTTCAGCTCTGGGCTACAAACCAGATGTCCCACAGGTGCTCAGATCATCCCATGCTCCTGATGCTCCCTTACCAGTAAAACCAGTGCAGAGCCATTGGAGCTCACACCAACTTCTGTCACCGCCAGGGTTGCCTCCCCACAACCTCCTCAGTTTGTAAGTTAAAGACAAAAGTAAGACTGCTGATTGTCCAGAAGCAAGTCATGTTCTGCCAACCTGGTGTTCCTGAACAAAGGAGAGTCTAAATACAGCTCTGATGCTCCTTGTCCACCAAAGGAGCCATACGGTCACCTTGAAGCCTGCCAACAGCAGCAGGACCCCCAAGCATTCTTGCTAAATCAATTTGAAATTATTCAATTATACCATAACAAACACTCGATCTCTCAGCATTCTTCACATGCTGGAACTTCTCAGGCTTGCATCATACTTCCTCTCTCACCGAAATTCTTCACAACTGATACTTTACTCTGGGCTCTGATGTTTTTAAATCTTTTTATTTCTTCAGAAAATATTGTACGTGTCTCAAAAACGTCTCGTCATCCTCTTTGATGCAGAAAATAACTTGTTTTTCATCTGCTACCGAGAGGCGTGCTCTGTGGCCCAACTAAAATCCCACTGTAGAGCTCCTTCCAACGTTTTCCCATAGCAAATCAAACCAAGAGCAACTTGTCTGACAGAACTGGCATGCTAACAAAGAGTACAGTTTTCCCTCTATTTCTTCAATAGACACGCAACGTTGCTAAGCCAGCTTTCTTGACAGATCTCATACTTTGAAGGACAGCAGAAAACAGGACCGAAAGGAGCTTGTGCGATCGGTGTGCAGATCTCCTACCCCCAAAGGAGGGGGGAAGCACTTCAACCCACCCAGGTGTGTAATGCTCAATATGTTACAGCCCATCACTGCGTGCCGTGGCCTCATTTTCCCCACAGATGCATAGCTGCAGTGTATATACTGATCAGAAATGCAGCCCAAAAGCAGCGAGGAATCTGTTCTCCTGCAAGTAGAAGCACACAAAGAGCCCGTGCTGCCTTCCAATGGAACTGGGGGGAAAAAAAAAACAAGCAAAACAACCAGAATGCATTTTTTTTTTTTTTTTTCCCATGAAAAATCTGACAAGCACGTTGTTGATGACTGGTAAATTACCAGTTCCACAAAGCTCTTCCTCCAAAACATGAAAGCATCGGTCGGGATGACTGAAATGCTGCAGAAAAGTGGAAAACTGTTTTATTTCATATTTAAGGCTGAGTGGAGACCAGCGAGCAGCAAATATTATCTTTATCAGCAGCCTATCAGGAATACCAGCGCCGTGGTGCTTCCTGCCCTGATTCAGGATTTAATGCAAGACTTCTGGGACCGCGTTAGGCTCAGGCACTGTCTCTACTTGTTACCATTCAGTCTTCATTTGCAAATGATAATTTTTTGCTTTGAATGGCATGCCTGACTGCAGGGCAGGGTAAATCCAAACCTTTTAAACTCCAGCCAAAAATTTGTCATGAATTAGGAGGCTGCAGCATATTTACAATACAAAATAAAATATCTCTACGAGTGCTCAGTTGTGGCGGTATGAATAAACGCCGATTATTCTTTTTTTTTTTTTTTTTCTTTTTGACGGGATAATTTTCAAAGCAGTGATTTTGCAAAGACTCAGGAAGAAAACAATTTTGTTTCATTTCCATAACAGAATCCAGACCTCCAAATTCAACCTCACGAGCTACAATTATGCATAAGAACTACCACTGTGAATTTTCAAACACAGCGCCTTTTATTGTCTCTTCTCATTCTTTTCCCTTCCTGCTCTATGAGGGTTTCTCTACTGTCACCCTGCACAGAAAGTCTGAGCTGAAAGGAAAACTTTCAAGATTTCAGGCTCCAAACAACAAACCCAAACCTTCAGCACAAGGCACTGGAATGATATTCCTTCTTTTCAGTCTTCAGGGAATAAATGTCTTTTTTTGTTTGTTTGTTTCTTTTCAAACTGTATGAACTCTTGACAGATGAAAACTGATGTTCAGCTGCTCTGTGATGGATGGATGGGTATTTCAGTCACTTTCAGAATTCAGCCTCAAAAAAATGAAAGATGCCAAATACCAATGACTGCAATTTTACCCTTTGTAATCTGTGAGGTTTTTCATTCCAGGACAATAACACAGATGCAAAGAACTCACTATTTACTGAAACTTCCCAACTTTTGTCCTTCAGTATCACTGTTTTATTAATAAATCTTCCACCTGCCCTGTGAGACAGGCAGCTCTGAAGCACAAACACCAAAGATGAAACACTGACGCAGCACAAGCAGCACATCTTGCTTTCTGTGTGGTTGCAGTGCACTTTTGGATTTGAAGGTTGCTTTAAAATTCAGTAACCTCTTAGACATTAAGCATCACTGCCTGGGAAATGAAGTTTCTTGTCCCCAAAGCCAGAGAGAAACATGCCTATGAATGTCACCCACGCTTTTGGTGCTCCAAATAGTTTCAAATCATCACACTGCTTTTGAAGAAAGGCACGTGAGGCTGTCACTGCAAACCCACACCCCAGGCAGACCCTGTTTATGGAGAACATCTGGTAGCAATTACCCACTTGATGGAATGCAAAGCATCGATTTTTGTTACCAATGGGACTCAGAGAACAAACAGGACATTATTTACACATTAAAGAGAGTACTCACCCCGACACCACCGCAAGGAAGCCTGACAAACATCGACGTTAGAGAACCTGTAGGAAAAAAAACATACATATCCAGTAAGTCAAAGAGTCAAAGTTCACCAGATTGCGGGCCAATTTTATGGCAATGCTGAAATCTTTCTGAACACAGTCACAGATCACAGTTTTCTTGCAATTTTCAGAAGACACGCAGCCAACCCTGCTATATTACAACATGCACATAAACAATATACACACTTGGACGTGTTCAAAAGCCTCTCTGACATAAAAGCCTTCTATAAATCACCCATTTTTATGCAACAGTTCTGCACTGTTCCACATTTCAGGCAATCATGCTGACTATAAATGATTGAGATGCTACCAATGACTGCTCAGCATGTCTGAGGTGAACATTTTAACCACTTTCAACTGAAAGAGGATGGAAATCATGAAAACCCTCTAATTATCAGTCATCTGCACAGGCACTAGAAGACTTTTGAGTCTTCATAAAAGACAGACAGACAAAAAATAAACCGGTGGCAAGCAAATAAAACATGTTTTTAACTGAAAGAGCAAAACCAATGTTAATAATTCGGGAAAAATGAAGAAAGCCATCTGCAGAAATAATTCTGTAACTATAATGAGTCTAACATCACTTCCTCAGCTTGTGTAGCAGCAATATTATCCATTGAAAATGTTGCATATTTATAAACCATGCACTGAAAACTCTCATGTCTATTGCTACCCTTTGTGCATGACTTGTATACGTATCTACGCACAACAGGCAAGTAGGGAGAAGAAAATATGCACGTGCCAGCACCATAAAAGATCTGCAGTACAGTGCCAGAGATTCATTTGCCTGTTACCTCTTTAAAACTAATGGAAGCTAATAGTCAGACACATATGCTGCCCTTTGACTGGGAGTGGAGTTGGTGCATCTGCATTATCAATCCGAGCACACAGCGAGACTCTCTCTGTGATTAGATCCACATGAAAACTCTTAGCTCATCCTGCTTTAGACCTCCTGTCACATCTTTCACTGTTAATCCACCTATTATTTCAATATTTATCTTCTTAACAACAATTTATGATTGCTATCCACAAATTAAAAGCAGTCTTATCTGCCTGCATTTAAGCTTGTTCAACAGGTTCCAAAGCTCCACAGCGTCAAGTGATAAATGGATTCATATTCTTTATCTTGAGACTTTCAATGGCTATAGCAACCTTTCCAGGGGTAGAGTTGTGCAGCCTGCCACCTTCAAACCCTTCTGATATAACACAGCAAAGATCCCCGTAATGCCCAAAGGGGGGTCAGCCTCTTCTCCCATATGACTGGTGACAGAAGAAGAGGTAAGAGCCTTGAGGTACCAGGGAAGGTACAGGTTGTATATTAGGAAAAATTTCTTCTCAGAAAGAGTGGTGAGGTATTGGAACAACTTGCCCAAGGAGGTGGTGGAGTCATCATCCCTGCAGGTGCTCCAGGACCATGGAGATGTGGCACTTGAGGGAGGTGGTCAGTGGGCATAGTGGGGATGGGTTGGCACTGGACCAGATGACTGTAGATGTCTTTCCTAACCTGAATGATTCTATGATTCTAACTCTATGGAAGTGATCTTCATTATCAGTGGTGGCTGCTGGTAAAGAAGGGCACTTTTTGAGGAAGGAGTGAGACTAACAACTGCAGGACTATTCTGCTGGATACCTTCTAGGAGATCCCTGTCTTTTTTAAACTGAGTAGCCCAGAACTGGATGCACTAGTCTAAATGTGGCCTCACTGTGGAAGAGCAGAGGGGAGGATCACCTCCCTTGACCTGCTGGCCATGCTCTTTAATACACGCCAGGATACCATTGGCCTTTTTGGCCACAAGGTTACATTGCTGGCTCATGGCAAACCTGCTGCCCACCAGGACCCCTAGGTCCTTTCTCACAGAGCTCCTCTCCACCAGGTCATCCCTTAACCTGTAGCAATGCATGTGCTTATTCCAGGTGCAATACTCTATATTTGCCCTTGTTAAACCCCATCAGATTCCCTCCTGCCCAACCGTCCAGTATGTCTAAGTCTTGTTGAATGGTAGCACAGCCTTCAGATGTGTCAGCCACTCCTCTCAGCAAACTTGCTGAGAGTGGTCTCCATCCCTTCAACCAGGTTGCTGATGAAGATGCTGAACAAGACTGGACTGACCCCTGGGGAACAGCACTTGTTAGAGGCCTTTGATCAGGCCTTGTGCTGCTGCTGATCACCCTCTAAGCTCTGCCAGACAGCCAGTTCTCAATTCACCTCACTGTCCACTCATTTATCCCACATTTTCTAAGTTTCATAACAAGGATGCTGTGGGAGATGGTCTCAAACACCTTGCTGAAGTCAAGATACACAACACCCACTGCTCTCCATGCATCTATCCAGCCAGTGACGACATCAATAGAAAGCTATCAGGTTGGTCAAGCATGATTTCTCCTTGGTGAATCTATGTTGACTGCTCCTGATAACCTTCTTCTCTTCCAATTGCTTGGAGATGGTGTCCAGAACAAGTTGTTCCATCACCTTTCCAGGGATGAAGGTGAGGCTGACTGGCTTGTAGTTTACCGGATGCTACTTCTTGCCCTTTTTAAAGATTGGAGTGACAATGCCTAACCTCCAGTCTTCAGGCACCTCTCCCATTTGCCAGGACCTTCCAAAGATGAAAGAAGAAAGTAGTTCAGCAGTCATTTTCCCTAGTCTTCCTTTTACTGTTGACATACTTAAACTTTTCTTTTTACCTTTTACCTTCTTTGCAAGGTTTAATTCCAAGAGGGCTTTATCCTTCTTTGCTGCATCCCGACAGGATTTGACAACATTTCTATATTCTTCCCAGGTATGCAGGCCCTTTCTCCACATTTCACGGACCTTCTTCTTTCCTTTCAGTTTATCCACCAGTTCCTTGTTTACCCACACAGGCCTCTTTGCCACCTTTCCCCAATTTCTTACTCTTAGGGATGCTTGGAAGAAGTGGTGTTTAAGTGCTAACCAGCTGTGATGGGCTTCATACCTTCTAACACTCTAGCCCATGGGGGCTACCTCCAAGTTAAGTCTTTGAAGTCAAGGTTGGCTCTCCTGAAGTTCAGGATAGCAATTCTACTTATGCTTTACCTCTTTCAAACAAGATCTTAAACTCCACCATCATGTAATAGCTGCATCCCAAGCTTCCCTTAGCCATCACACCCCTGACCAGCCTTCTACACTCCTCCTCATCAGCTCTTGCACCACCTGCACCAAAAAGTTATCAACATGCTGCAGGAAACCACCTGCACTCTGTGTGCCTGCCTGTGTTGCTTATCAAACAAGTATCAGGATAACTGATGTATCCCATGAGAACTAGTGCCAGGAACCATGAGGCTACTTCCAGCTGTTTGTAGAAGGCCTCATCCATTTCCTCCTCCTGACTAGGTGGCCTGCAGTACACATCCACAACAGCATCACCTATGTTAGCCTGTCACTTAATTCTTACCCTCATGCTCTGCCCTTGATCATCATTCCCTCTGAGTGAAGTTTGATACATTCCAGTTGCACTCTCACATAAAGAGCAACTCCATCACCTTGTCTTGCCAAACTGCCTTTCCTAAAGAGGACACAGCAATCCATGACAGCACTGCAGTCAAGTGAGCTGTCCCACCATGTCTTCGTGATCACAGTGAGATCACGGCCCTGAGACACATCACAGATCTCACAGTTCTTCCTGTTTATTTCCAGCGCTGCATGCACTGGTACACAGAGGTACTTCAGGGAAGCAGGTATCTCTTGAGGGATGAAAGAAGGTTTAAACCCTACTGGTGATGTTATCACAAGATCCAACTGGACAACTGAAAGCTTTTCTCCACAGTTTACTAAAAAGACAGCATTATCAGGCCCCTCTCTGTCACAAGTAACTCCAGCCCCTTCCCCCATCAGATCTAGTCCAAAGCTCTGGTAATCAATCCAGCCAGTTTGCACTTCTGCCCCATCTGCTCAGTTGCATTCTGTCTGACACCCACATACCTGGTCTCTCCAAGACCTGCCCAAGATCACCGCACCCAAAATCTTGATCCCAGCTCCATTCCTCCAGCCAGTAATTTTCCTGATCTATTCTCCTTCTTCCTTCCAGGACCTAGCCACCAGCTGGGAGGACAGAGGAGGATACTACTTGTCCTCCTGATCCCTTTAGCATCTTTCCAAGGGATGCAAAGCCCCTTTAATATTCTGTGTTTTCCTCGTTGCAGCCTCCCCTGACCCTACTTGAATGACAACAAGCAGACAGTAGTCATCTTGTTTTATCAGATGTAGTAGAGTCTTCTTACCATCACATGTCCCCAGAAGACAGCAAGTCTCTTTGAAGAGGTTATCTGGCAACAAACGGAGGCCTCAGTGCCTCCCAGCAAGGAGTCCCCAGCTACTAAGACTTTGCCATTTTTTGGTGGTACAAATTTTAATATGATTCTTTGGTTGGACCTGTACTACATGCTTACTGCATCATGGGCTCTGTTTGGTATCTAGGCATTCTTTTGTTTTCAGCCCCACAGCCTCATATCTGTTGCTCAGGAGACTGTATGTAGGAGGAAGACATCTCCTTCTGCTCCAAGCAATCCTTGTTTTCATCTTTCAGCTTCACAAGTTCTTCCTTCTAGACTGAGATTTCTCATGCTTGAACAGAGGAAGTTACCCCATCACAGTCATATATATGTCAAGATACTCAGGTCTTCCAAGCTAACATGAGCCTCATGCGAAGCTTTGGTCTCAGACTTCAAACCTGCCATACATTTAGCCCACAGATGTATTTAAAAGAACCCCACAAAGCTGTTATGTACATTTAAAAGCCTTTTAAACTTTCAAAAAGAGAGCATAGCTAAAGGGAATGCTTACAGGCTTGTTCATCTCTGTGCACAGATACAGATACCGAGGCTTTTTGGGGGGGGGGTTCCCAACACATCAGAAGCTGTGTTCTCTGCTCCAGCCCAGAAGCCAACAAGTTAGGAAACTGTACTGTTTTTCAAGACAGAATTGCTCTGCTGTGAGCTCAGCTAAGCGCTATCAAAAATCCCTTGCAACTAATAATCTCAATGTACTTTCTACGTCTTCAGCCTCAAAACTAATAGAAAAGCTGCTGGGCATTGCTGGGCCATGGCTGAAGCTTCAGCTGCAATCCCAGCCAAACTCTGGTCTCACTCACAAATAGGTTATTCTTGGAATGATTTATCAGAGTACAGCCCCTTGACAACTTAATGTTCTTTGCAAATTACACATACGCATGCAACTCTTTGTACTGGAATGCCCTCAGGTGTTAGAACTATTTTTATTCACTAGAGGAAACTTAATTTCTAGAGATATTTTAAAACGTGCAACTGAAAGACATGTGGGGTGCACAGCACACATACTGAAGTACTCAAGGGTAGAGTTTATCCTCCTGCAGGTTCTCTAAACAGGTTTGTTTCAGTCAAAATGTGGGAATAACAATAAACTTTCTTTCCACAAATACACCTGTGGAACTACTGATATAGGTTGTGCCAAGAGTTGAATGCAAATGACAAAGTATTTTGAGAGGACGTGACATTTGAATGAGAAGGAAACAGTTATAGTGTTACCCCAGTCCACTCTAAAAACGTATATATATCTTGCAAGGGGTATCAAATGCCTGACTTTAAGCTGCTTCTGAAGGAGTGAGTGTAGGGTGATTCACTGCTTCTCCCAGCCCCACTCAGGGTATCAACCCCATCTCATCCAGGTTGGTGAAGCCAACAGTGCTGAAGGACTGCCTGCATCCCACCATGAGGAATTCATGGGGACAGGTCATCATCTTCAGCTCTGCATCATCACTACAGATCAATGAAGTGAGATCAGTCAGAATGAAGGTGGTGCATGTGCAAATGAGGAGCCCTCCTAGATTTACAGGGGAGATTTACACCCTGTTTCTCTGGATTAATGGATATGCCTTATGAAAAGCAAGAATTTTACACAACCAAAGATATAACATCATAAATTTCTTAAACTGTATATACTAATTGTGCTATCATTCAGCCAGAGATGTCTATTTCTCATTTCTCTGGGTTTTAAAGAGATGGCAACTTAGCTATAAATACAGCACTAATTACATGTTTAAACAAGTGGCTAATAGCTTTCCTCTTTGGGGATCTAATGTACATACTGAGTATGTTGCAAAAATCTTTCCAGTTCTTTTGCTATGACTACTGCAATGTGCAGGTCATCAAGTTAATCCTCTTTTTATATCATTCAAAGTGAAGCTAATCCCAAAATAAACATTGTTAACTTCTAGATTCCATAACTGTCTTTTTGCTGATCCCCATAGCAGAACTTCACAAACTGCCCCTCCAGCTTATTACCTCCTGCTGTGAAGAGGAAAAAACAAAGGGTAAAGAAGATGCTCCATGATGGTAAGGTGCCAAAATCAATGTGAACTGGTTGCTCTGGTTGGAAATGGCTATCTGAACAACCATCCTCTAGATAGTCTGCAAGGAAATAGTCTACAGAAGCAGCCCAGTTTCAGAAAGATCCAGTTCCCAGTGAAAGGAATAAACAATCTTGTCCAAAATTAAACAAATGTAGGACTTTTAATAAGAGGCCCCTGCATCTTTCTTGTGGATTATCCATACAGTCCTGACATCTATTTGTTGATGCCTGTGCAGCTGGTTTGTGCTGCAGATCCAGGTCCTCAGCAGGGTATTCTGGTTATTAGCAGGCAAGGAGCACAGAGCAGACTGTGCAAAGATATAATAGACTCTAAATTATCTTTTCTCTTCAGAGAGGTTGGTTTTAGGTTGGTTTTAGATTTTGAGGGCATTCATTCAAGGAAGCTGTAGCTAGCTAGGGTTTAGGGATTGCCCAAAGAAAGGAAGATGTATAACTCAAGACAATGCTGACAGTAGTGGGGGAAGAATCATCTTGGGAACTGCCTACAGCTGGGGCTGGTGGGAGCACCAAGTGCTCACCTTTCACACCAGCAGGACTAAGGGATTGCCAGAACTGGGGCAGTGGGCAGTAGTGTGAATGCAGGGGGTCAGGAAGGGAAGCACACCCCACAGTGAACAATACCTAGAAGTTTCTTGCTGTCCAGTTTCTGTCTGTTCAGAGGGTTTGTGCCGTACAGCAGTGTATGAGCTTCCGAGTGAACTGTCTGCAGCTCTTCTAGAGTTGCTTTTCTTCCACGAATGCACTGAAAGAGGAAAGAAAACGAACGATGAGATCACTGGTTTAATGCTCAGCTCTCATTGCTGAGTACAAATATTTTTTCTTTCTGTAACTTAGCAAGTCATAAAGACAACGACCAAAAAACCTAACACTGGTTCTCACATGAAAAAATCTTGCTAGGACAGATTTTGGTTTAAGCCCAAAAATGCTGGTGAAGATATTAGCTTGACATAAAAAGTCATCTTTGGATTTTTTATTTCTTTATTTTAAAAATATTTACCAGAGAGCACTTGCTGAACTACACAGGGACTGCTAACTACTGATTATTCAGGATTTCAGTTATAAACCATTATGAAATGATTTACTGATGAAAAAAACTGCAAAACTTTTATTGATGTCAACAGGATCCAACTTCACTCTAAATTTAACAAACTAAGATCTTTACAACTCTTTTCATAGAGTTCCAGTATATCTTTCAGGTCAGACGGAGCCACAGGCAACTGGATCTAGTGGGTGGTAACCCTGCTATAACTGGATGGGCTATAAGGTCCTTTCCAAACCAAGCCATTCTGGGATCTTTGAGGCTTCCCTTTTGTTTCTATTGTCCATTTGTGATATAACATGCTTGTCAGCTTGCCAGAATGTGCTGGGTAGTGCAAGCTGGCCTCTCGCAAGGAGCGAGCACTCTCTGGCAGGCAGATGCTGCCTGGAGGATATCAGGTATTCCAGAGAAGGCAACCAACTCCTGACAGTGGAAAAAACATCTTGTCTTTTGCACTGGGAACTTGCAACTGCCTCCAAAACGGTGGCAAGGGAAATATGCACAGAGTTGCTGAGGCTTGAGGTAATGCAAGAGGTGGGGAAGGAGTTACTTTGAAACAGGGATGGCTTTGCTTCAGAAACTTGCATGCACTCATCTCTCCAGAAAAAAAAAAAAATAGAGTTACTTTATACTTTTTTTTTTTTTTTCTATGCAATAGTAAAAGATAAGTAGTTGGCAATAAGCATGCTGGAAGCTCTGAAAGCCTCTTGTGGAGATCTCAGGGTCACTCTCATGCAAACATGTCCCTCATCACATAGTGTGCCCTGCAGTCTGTGCAGGAATTCATGTATGCACACGAATGCCCATGCACCAGCCCCTCCATGTACCCAGCACAGTCTGCAAAATAAACTTTAGGGAACTGCATCTCAAAATTTCAGCAGAAGCCCTCATCACGTGTTTCAAAGCATGCAGGAAATCCCTTTGTAAAATCGTTTGAGCCATAAGGCAGCAGAAATCAAAGCACTGCAGGAGTGCTCGTGCGCTCTGGCTCTCGTAATTTTGGCATCTCTGCTCTCCAGTTCCTCTTTCATTTTCTCCGTGCTCTGCTCCACCACCTAGCATTTCCTGGGGTTAATGATGAGGCAAAAATACACCATCCCATTAAAGAGGCAATAATCACAAAAATGCTAGACCCAGAAGGGATGGAAATATCTGGCAAATCCCCCCTGAGCTTTCATCCTGTCTTCCTTTTTTGTTCATGGTAAGCCTCTCTCAGTTACCCTTAGAGGCTTTTACAGCTTCCCTTTTGCCCATATGCCAATTCTTTCCCTTTGAACGAGACGTACTGACCCATTTTCGGCTGCTACATTTAGTGGACAGACAGAAATAGTTTGTTGTATTTCTTGGCATCCCGTGGATGCACGGGAACAGCCACCCACTGCAATAAGGCGCCAGCTCCTCTGTGGATGCTCCTGGTTAACAGAGGTGGCCCTACAAGCCCATCCAAGGTCTGTGCTCAACATCAGGGTGTGGGGACCTCCCTGCCTCATGGCAGTATGAATGGAATGGGATCTGAGAGAGAATGGAGAAGTTTCTTTTGTGCTTCCAGTGAAATGCATGCAAGGAAACAGCTAATACTTGCTTGTTTCAGTAAGGAGTAACTGACTGCAAAGAACTGTGCCTGAGATGCTTTTGCACCATTCTTATCTCCCAGCTCACACACCAAAATCTTTATCCTCAGTTCTAATGCAAAGATACCCAGAAAATGAACTCAATCCCCACCCAGACTAAAGAAGGAACAAAACATTCCTCGGATGTGGATGACGGGTTTCCAAACCTATCACAGCATGTTACTCAGTGTGCTGTCCATGCTCCAAATTTGAGCAGTTCTTCACTTCAAGAGTTCTTAACCTCTTAAATCACGATGCTTGGTCAGTCCTGAGACTTTGCAGTGCTTAGGATGAGAAGAAATGGTCTCAAGTTTTGCCAGAAGAGTTTTCAATTGGATATTCACGGAGTCAGGGCTCAGGCATTGGAAAGGGCTGCCCAGGGAAATGGTGGAGCTCCCATCCCTGTTTAAGAGATGTGTAGGTGTGGTGCTTAGGGACATGGGTTAGTGGTGGACTTAGCATTTGGGAATGGCTGGACTTGTGATCTTAAGGGTCTTTCCCAACCTAAAAGATTCTATGATTCTATCCATCTTCTCACTCTGTATTACCCCCTTATAGTCTAAGGCACTTCCTGGCTGTCAGAACCACGCTTTACAACTCAGGAGGTGGCTTTTTAACCCTAACTTGACATTCTCAACATCTCTCACACTGCTCGATACACTTCCTTCTTTTTCTTCATAGCCAGTTTTCCCTCATTTCAAACCACGAAATGCTAGGTTTGCATTTTATCCACCCTTTCACCCCATGATGTTTCAATACGAGAGGACATGAAACTTGAGAAACAGCGAACCAGATCTCATCCCACCTACACCCCTCCCTCTGTGCCACACAGAGCCATGAAACGGCAACAAAGCTTTTTTTTTCCCCAGGCACCAGCACCACCTCAGTGCTTTGCAATGAGAAATTTCTGGTCCACAGCTGATGCCCAGCAGTTCTGCGGTGTCGGAGCAGCGACCGATCGTGCCTTCAAGCCAAACACAAGCACCATGCATTGTCAGGAACTCTGCGTGCATCTCCGCTCCAGCAGATGGCTCAGCCCAAGCTCTATTTTTCACGTCTGTCCTCAGCAGCTCCAATTAACCCGAGGGCTTCAGCCAGCAGTGCTCGTACTCTGAACAGCACAGGATTGCTGCCAAGATGTGCCTGGAGACAGACTCTGACTCAGGAACTAATTCTTCTCAATCCTGGTCGAGCAGTCCAAGGGTTTGATTATATCCAAAACACACAACAAAACCTATTGATTTCCTGATGAAGGCTGGGAGGATTATGCTATACAACAATTGTGGGTTCTCGTTTGGGGGAGAGCCTATTTTATTGCGATTGCTTCAATTAGGATAATTGTTGCTTTTAAATTCTGAACATATACCAAAGCAGTTGCCATGTTTTATAAAGCTAACTTAATTAAACAAGTTATGCTCTAAAACCACAGATGTCGTTAAGCTCAGACAACTGCTTTCATTCCAAAGGGTCATCTTGAAACTCATGCAAACCTGTTGGACTTTTACCTATCACACTGCAAATCTGCTGCACATCTTCCCCTCAGCTGGATGTCAAATGATTTTTGGACAACTTCAGCAAATACGTATCTGTTTCACTGCTGAAAAATGAGGGGAGTGGGTGGGCGGGAAGCGCTGTGCTTTTTCTGTTCTAAAAATATTCATGCCCCTTCTGGATCCCTTCTATTGCCTGCAAGAGAAATGACAGGAACTCGGCACTTGGCAGGTTGTGCAGGAGTTGCTTGATGAAAATGGGCTTTTGCATTTCTGAAATTTCAAAGCATGCATTTTTTTTGCATGCACAACAAAATATTTATCTGAGAGTCCTTTCCTGGCACGAGGCTCGTGCACAACAGAACCACCAAAAAAAAATTTCCAGGAGACAGACACAGAGAATTGTTTGAGCTGGCATGAAAAAACAGAGCACGCAGTTGTGTGGGGACCAAGTGTTGAACTGCTTCTGGAAGAGAAATGGGGGTCCTGATGGAGCTGCATGATCAATACACAGTATATAGGATTATCTGCTATGCAGGGTGCAGGTTTTAATCCATTTCTATCAAATACTTGCTGCTAACAGAATCAAACTATACCCACAACCAGACCACAGCAAAGGGCTGCTGAGGAAGCAAGAGGCAACACAAGAATAAGGAAACTTCAAATTTCAAACTGTCCTTTTACAGACACGAGTTGTAATAAGTGGATTAACCAAATAATCACAAACAATTTTCACATCAGGCCCTTGGGCTTACTGGCTCATAACGTCTGCAAGCACGAGACCTGCAACAGTGAATATAAAATGAGTGCAACACAGAAGTGCCACCAATACCAGCTAAAATATAACATAGAATAAAAGAGGAGCTGAGGGAAAAAAGGCATGTACACACCTGGCAAACTGCTGACTGCCATAACCCTGGTGTTGCTGTTGACTGGCTGCAGTTGCCACAGACCTAATACTAGGACAGGGGATGACGAAATGGCTTTGCAACATGGAAATGAATTACTTTGGTCAAGGACAACAGAAGGTGAATGAGTGTCTGCAGCTGCAGGAAAAACCCTATCAAATACGGAACACTGAAGCAAGGAGGGAGGGAGGAGATGGAGAGAGAGGGAAAGGCTGTGACCACAAAACCTGGATAGAGAAGAAAAGTTGGATGTGGGTAGGAGCAGGAGTAGGGTACAGTAGATGTAAAGGAACAGGGAAGCTAATGAGAGAAAAACAGGACTGGGTATCCAGAAAGGGCAGGTCAGATCAGCAGAGAAGGAAACACGGGATTGCAGGTAGGAAGCTAGCATTACATATCTAATGCTTTCAGAAAAAGGAAGAGTCAAGATGAAGCTGAATTTCACCAGGTCATGAGGGAAACACAGGTAGAAAGCAGGTGAACATCAAATCCAGCTCCTACTGCAAAACCAACCTGAAGTAACTTTAGGAAAACAACAGTTGCTTGGGATGAAGAATTTCACACATTACAGAACTGTAGGAGACAAGGCAACTACCATAGTGTGAATTAAGTAACACTTCTAACCAGAGGAGCTAGACAGCAGTGAGGTGCTTATTTTGTCAGACACCATAATCCCAGAATTCAATTACATGGGTCTCCACAGACTGAAACAGTTCTGAAGTTCTTCCTTACTCTGCTGAGGGATAAATATGCTTATGACAGGGGAGCTTTACCTAATGGCAATGCTGCCACCACGTGGATGTCTTTCCTGACTGCTCAGAAAATCCTTCTAGATGGATGCTGACATAACTCATATTTACAGCGTGATTCAAACCCCTCAGATGCTCAGAGAACTGATGAACAAACACTAGGGTTAATTTATCATCATTACTACTAGCTATGAATAATAATTACTAAACACTAGTCTTTTTATCTTAGCAACTTTCACATAGTTTGCTTTGCTCTTAAAACATGCGCATCCAATGAAATTAATTTAACCGCTCTTGAAGGAACAAGATTTAGTTGCATCCACCTACCCTCATTCTTTTCACAGTGCTTTCACTGTAGGTTGATCATTAATTATCAGAGAATATTTATAAAGTTAATAAACCTCTGAGAAATAAACTTTCCACAGCTCCTGTTATGATTGGAGCGATATCAAATGACATGGTCACTTCATGTCGTGCTCTCATAGTTGGCCATTTCAAAATCTAACAGTTGATAAGGACTTCCAGGTTACAGGGAATAGGGCTGAAAATTACATGAGAAGCTTCACTGCAAACTCTACAGCTCACATCGGGCAAGAGCCTTCTCCAGCATCTCACAAAATTTTAACAGTCACTGCAATGCAATGAAATCAGACTGCTAGAAAAGCACTCCTGACAAGCAAACACACAAGCATTTACAGTTATCTAGGTGTTAAATTTAAGCCACATATGGCCAAACATTGCCAACAGCTGGAGCTATAAAACGATAAAGCTGGAATGCAGTATAAAGTTTGCACATCCAGGTAGCAATCAGCAGTCCGAGCTGCAGGTTTGGTACACACACACTGCTTTCCAAACCAGAACCTGGCCCCAAAAGCTGCTTGTAATCCACCAGTGCAATCCACCATGCAAACCAGATGCTCTCTCCCCCAGGCCCACCACCCTGCCCCCTTGCTGTGCTCGTTTTACCTCACACTTGCCACGGAGACCTGTCTCCTGCAGCCTGGACCAGATGCTCTGGATCCTCCCCGCATGCTCCGGGTGGCTGTTTGTGTTTCCACAGGTACATTGATGTTTCAGCATCAAGGTGTCATAGACAAGGCCTGCAGCAGAAGTTACAAAATTACTCTAATTGAACGAAACTATTTTGCCAGATATATGGAAGAAAAAAAATTATTTTTTTCCCTTTTTGTCTACAGCACTTTGCAACTCAAACTCAACTGAATACTTATGTCTCACCAGGAGCCACAGAGCTCTAAGAAATGACAGTCCAAGGTGCCAAGAAAGGAGATGGGCAGCTGCTTTGAAACAGAACCAAACCTGCAGCGATCCCCTCCTTTAGAAATCTCAGCAGATACAGAAAAGAGTCACCATCATCACTTCAGGCCGAGGTTATGAGAGTGACAGAAGGAGGTGACAAATGACAGTGCTGGTATGAGTGCAGTGCGCCAGAGCTGGAACACGATTTAGAAGGGGGCTGACTTACAACTTTGATAATTGCTGCTAAAATGACTCTAGGGCTTGGGATTAAAAACAAGAAGGAATAAGTCATTAGCAGGCACTATGTTTTATAACACAGTGTGTGCTGAAGTCTTCGCTTCAACATTATTTGACAACACGCTAATTAAGACTATTAGAACGCACTTGGGAATAATTATTCAGCACGATATGAAGGTATTTAGTTAAATCCCCTTGCATTGCAACTATTTATGGCATGACAGCAGCGTAGGAGACTGCTTCGTGCTCTGGAGCTGCCCGGGTGCAGTTTTGGAACAGGAGCTGCAATTTCACTGCCAGTGTTTCACAAAACAAAGCCAGCAGTTCCTCCCTAGCTACGCACTCCTGGTGACACAACATTTTTCTTCCCTTATGCAAAAGGGACACAGTGAAATGTTTCAGTCTACCCCTTCCTTCAGCCAGGCATTGATCCTCCTAAATCCCACTGGAGCGTGCCTCTGCTGGACCTAGCAGCACCAAGGCAGCTTGCAAGGGCTACCTGAGCCAGCCTCAGGTGAGCAGCTGAAGTACTGATAAACAGCACAATCTGCAGCTGCAAGGAGTTCAAAGAGGCCTCTGAGTACACACAGGGCATGAAACCCCAGCTTGCAGGCCTGACCGGAGCTGAAATTGCACCTTCTGACTGAGTGCAGGCATGTTCTGCCACTGCAAAACTTGGCCTTCTCCTTCCAGACAAAATCTGGCACTGACTCTCAGCTATTGTGCCTCAGGGAAGGTACCTGGCAGCCCCTTGCTTGGCTGTAGGTGAGCGCAAAGGAAAAAAAAGCAACACAACCCATTCAGTTCTAGGAAGGGAACGGAGTGCTGGTGAATTGATGGGCTCTGGGTTAGCCAAAGTTCAGTTAAATAAGATTGTGCTGCAGTGCTCTGTAAAGGGCTCCCCTGTTTGATTCATCATCAAATGCCATCAGGAGCTGTTGGGCAAAGCCAAGCACTGCAATGCCATCCGAGGAGAAAGCGAAGACCAACAGTAAGGCTAACTGTCCTTAAAACCCCTCCAGTTTTATTTAGACCAGTGTGAGGTCTGTAACTGCTCGTTTTTCCTCTGAGGTTAATTAATGAAGTCATCTTCAGGGGATGTCAGGCACTTTGACAAAGTATTTGCTATCCAAAAGGTCTCCATATAGGCCTCTTCCAAGATCACGTGAGGCTGCACTGGGTTTGGGTAAAGTGCTGATACTAAACAAAGGAAAGCAGTTCTGGCTTCCAGGCACATCTACAGGGACTTCAACTGCACGTTACACATTTAAAGCAAAAGAATGCAAGTGTAATATAAACATATATATTCAGACACAATGAACCTTGAGATTAAGCAAAAAGATGCATGAGTAGCAAGCAATTCACTGCTGACTCGCCTGTGTACACCTTTGACTCAGAGCAGGACCATCCTGCTTTTGGGGTCAGGTTGGCAACTTCTCGAGGCACTGCCATGTGCATTGCATCCCCTTGCCAGAGACAGGCTGTACTGCAGCACAGTAGGAATACACACGATTCTTGCCAGTGCTCAGTTACTGGTAAATGACAGAACAGCAAGTCCAACTGGAATCCTGCACTGGAGATGTTCTTGCTGGCACTGCTCAAAGCAACTTTCTACAGAGCAAGCAAACGTGGGGATTTACTCACAGCTTGAAAGCTTTAAAGTCAGCTGTTCAGAACTGTTTAGAAAAAATATTGTCATGTGTAATCAAGAGTTTCTACTAATAATGACTAGTTGGAAAAGCAATTAAAAAATACCAAAGCAAATCATCCCAGCAGTGAGGACAGCATACATAGAAGCCTGCAAGCAAATACAAAAAGACAGAACAAGTGAGGTGTCCTGGGGATGGCCAAAGAGAAGGGCAAGAGGAAAGCATGCTGCGTGGAGAACTGGTGAGAGAGTGCACCAGGAATTCACTCATAAATTGAGAAAGTATAAAACAGCAATATGCAGAATTAGAAGCTGGAAAGGACAATCCATCCTGCAGCTAAGCCTGAGGCTAGTTCAGTATCACACCCTTAGAATCTGAGGAAGAATCAAGCATTTCCAAGCAGTTGTGAGTAGTTTTTAAGCAGTCTTTTGTTTGCTTCTTGGGCTCCCAGACTATTGTTCTGGCAAATCTTTTTGCTTCTTGGGAACTGATCACAATTTGACAGTGAATTATACTGACTGCACTGCACACATGGAGAGGGGGTCCAACACTATTTAAACATTGAGTATGAGAATCTGTGTTGCAAGTTGTGCTTCTTTTTAAAGGTGTTTTTCCCAATTTCCTGAACTTTGAATTGTAACTCCTGTAATACCATCAGGATGTAACCTAGCTATGCAAGCAAAGCAATGTCTGGCCAGATCAGCAGCTTCTGTCTTGTTCCCTGTTTTGTGCCTGGGTAGCACTGGCAGGGCAGAATGCAACACAGATCAAACCAGTGATAAAAACAAAGGAAAGTTCAGATTTTTGCACTGATCTTACCCTCTTTTGTCACTCACAGCAGAGCTGTGAGTGGCCTCCCAGGTTTTTCTGGAGAAGCCTGGTGTCAGCTCAGAACCAGGCAGAGGCATTTAGCAGCTCACCTTACTTGGTGCCACCCAGGAGGGCCACAAATATTGAGAAGAGCAAACACAAGTACTCGTGGGCTTGATCCCCAGCACCTCTTCACCCACATCTGCAAATGCCAGAAAGCTGCAGGTGTGTTTAAAATGCATGTGTACATCTAAAATGGATTTTACTAACTGAGCCTGTTAAATACGAGATAGAAAGAGGAGTTAAAGGAAAAGGTTTTGGAAAATGTGGTGGTAGGATGCTTACTTGTCCCTGTTTTCTGAAGTTAATGGGAACTGCAGCACTACAGCAGGGTTTATATAGTTTGGATGAGCTATAAAGTTTCTCCAAAGATTCACTGATAAGAGCAGTTAGCCACCTCTCAGTGAAGAGAAGGGAACTGTTCCAAGTTGCTTATTGTGGCTGCGGACACTCAGATGAAGACATATGCACAAAGGAAATCTTGATAATTCAAGCTTAAAATATTTAATTACATTGGCCATTATGAGTTAAAGTAAATGATGTTGGAAGCAATACTCTTTCTGACATGACAATCATTTTTAAAGGTCAGCATTACACTACAACCAACTCGCCTTTCCTGGCAGAACAAACATATGATTTGAGGTTCAGAGAATTATATCACTCTGCATAGGAGAGAATAAATGCCTTCATCAGAAAAAAAAAAACCAACTTTAAAGCAGAACATCAGAATAATTTGTGGCACTGTTTTTAGAGGAGATCAGAGACTGGATAATTGGAGCTATGCAAATTAATGGCCTAACCTGAGAAGCCCTATTGAAGTGTGTAGAACAGTGCATAAAGAAGTACTCATTAAAGTCAGGGGGCTACTCATGCTAGTGAGGGCAAGTTCAACAACTAACTTTCTTTCATATTCTGCTATGAAGGAAAATTTAATGCCATGCTTCAGGATACAAAATGAACTGCCTGAAGAAGTCAGGGAGGGCACTGTTTTCACTTTCATGTGCAGTAACACACATGATGTTTGAGTAGTAAGTACATCGTGTTGCTGTTTTTCTTTACCTTTGAAGTCTCAGGTACTAGACACTGACAGAAACAGGAAAACAAATTATACATAAAGAACAGAATCACAAGCTATCTGGTCCTACTTCTGCCCAGAGAAAGCGTTAGCCCCTTCTGTACAGTATTCTGAATGCAAAAGTGATGAACTATCCCTTTGTCTGTTGGACAATAACTGATCTGTAGGAGCCACATTTGTGTCTAGAGTAATCATGCTGGCTTCATTAGGGCCACTGAAAGAGGTCTGTTTTTCCACCCCTCTCATCAAATGATCACAAGAATTCAAATCTTAACTTCTCCGAAATCCAAAGCACATATTTGTGTTAGAATCAATCTCCAAAGCAGCCACTTATCAAACAGATGAGTCCGCCTAGTGAAAAAGAAGCCTGATGCTCTTCGGCATCGCCTGCTTTGAAAAATCCCCAAGGCTTTCATTTCCTGCCTTTCAAAGAAAAATTCAATCCCAGCGATTAAGCTTTAGTATCCACCTCCAAAAACACAATCACTGATAGACTACAGGCTGCTTCAGAAAAACAGAACCAGCCTTAGTGTAGTGCACACATGCTCAACATTTGAGATAGCTGCCTTTCCTTTCTGTGCCTGCATGCTCAGAGTAGTAGGCTCTTTTTTCCTGCCACTGTAAGCAAATAGTGCTGGTTAACTAAACAAGTCCTTCGCCTGGGTAAGAATGCATGTGGGGAATACAGTAACTCTGCTTGTCTGAAATATCTCTCCCTGGGAATTAAAAAGGGAAGGAAACAAGAGATTTCCAGCCTGAGTGTGGAGAGGGCTTCAAATTTACTAGTGCCAGCGAATGCCAAGAATCACCTTCTCTCTTGGCAGCAGTTAATTGTGTTTTCCCTCCTCCATCCATCTACTGTAAATGAAGAGATGTGCATGAGATGCAAGGCAGTGGAAAAATCAAGCCCTTGGAGTCTGGACATGGGTAAATGCCATAAAAAGGAAGTTTAACAGTGAAATACACTGTCATTGCACTGGTTTAAATACATGTACAACACTATATAAAAGCAATGCAGGTTTTTTTTTTTACCTTTTACTGTAGGCTGTTTTTTGTAACCTTTCCTACAAGGAACACAAATCATAACACTCTACCAGTGTCCTTCCAATGCAGCATCGTTCTCCAGACCTGCATTCTTACTGTCACATTCTTACATAATTCTAATGAAATTCAGAAGCACGTATCTCAGTGAAACATACATCCTCTGCTAGGAAATGTTACTCTATATTCAGTCTTGTGCACGACTGACAAGGCAACTTAAGTACTGGAGGAGGAGAAGGGAAGAGAGAGAAGAATGAATAATCTCTTACATTAGGGCCATGCTTCCATTTGTTTTCAAAGCAGCAAGGTTTGGGACTAAGAGTGTTAGATGTTCAAGTTTCATTTGGTTTGACTGTGAGCTGGAGGATTACCCTTCTTTACACTCTTGGCAAAAGCCAAAAGCTAGAATAATCTTGGTGCTGTAACTGACTACACTGGAAACGTAGTTTTGCTAAAATTCAAAGTTTAAATATTAGCAGCAGATGGAGACTTGAAAGGCTGATTTTCAAAAATTAGATACTACCTGGACTTTTAGAGAGCTGATTGCACATGCTTCCCACCCAGCAATTAGCAGCTACAGAACAAAGTCAGCTTTAATGCATCACTATCACTATACCATCAGTATCTAATTCACAGTGCTGATTTTAATGATGAAAAAAAAAAAAAAAGAGTGGGTGAAATAAGATTAAATGGATAAATCATGAGTTGCCCTTGCTGCAGCATTTTTTTTTTCCTTTCCTCAGGGCATATATCACATGGCAAAATGTTCATTCAGAAAATAAGAGCTTGACATCTTGGGAAGAAGGCAGAACCTTCAAAATAAGGTTGCCTAATTACCGAATGTGGGCCCTGACAAGCTGCACATAATTCACTTTTATCTGTAATGAATAGACAAAAAAGATTTTGATGGAAAAAAGGCACTCGTAAGCCCTCCCTGATTTAGGAAGAATAGTTATTCTTGACCTTAAGTCTTTGTGGGGAGACTAACATCTTTTTTAACATCTTTTTTCGTGAGACAAATACAGAACTGCACTCATAATTTTTGTTTTGAGATGAAGACTGAACAGGTATGAAAACGCTCTTCCCTCTGTTTCTCCACACTGACATCTTGGAATGATCAACTCACCTCGCTTTTCCTAACCCACAGGCAACTGACTCCCAGGCAGAGTGCTGTGGAAGGAAGGTTAGTCTGGCACAAAGCCCAAACTGGATAATTTACAGCATGAGATTATGCAGGGACTGGAGAAGGTGCAGAAAATACAGCCGACAGATACTGCATTTGGCATGCTGTCCTTTTTCAATAACATTGCCACTCTCCTCCTCGCACCTAAATCAGCCTTGTCACAGTGTATGACTTGTCCTTTTTTTTTTTTTTTTTTGGAGATACATAATTAAAGTACCATGCTATGTTTCTATTGATTTTTGCAGACTATTTTCCGTCTGGATTACAGGGTGTCTGTCCCTCAAAGGAATGCAAAAGCAGGACAACAGGGCATAGGATAACCAATCACATTCTCATAGACAACAGGATATTACGGAGCCCACAGCCAGCTGAAACTCAGCCCTTGGACAGACAGCTTTGCATGGACACAGGGCAAAAAAACCCAATGTGAAGCAGAACAGCTACCACAGCCCCACTGATTGGTTTCCAGTGCTCTCCAACATTACCTGTAGTGAACCTTGGCTTAGTGGGTGGCTCCTGTACAGACATAGGGAAGGTGGCTGAGGCGGGTGAGGACTGTGCACGGGACAGGGGCCGATGGCCTCCAAAGGAGACTGGCATGCCAGCTGCCTCCAGCGATGCCTGGTAGTTTCTCAGCTGGTGAATGCGCTGCTGCTCCAACAGGAGGGCTTGCTGTGGGGAAAAGAAGCAGGTAGCTACTGAAGGTAGCCTCACGAAAGGTCCAGCATCAGCAGCACGTCACATCACGTTCATTTATTTATTCTTACTAGAGAAATGAAGCCTACACGTGATTGCATAAATCTAGGAAATTGCTCTGCACAAGCATGGTTGGCAATGGCATCAACCCCTCAAGGCAGCACCGTTATGAAGACAGTGCTTCTCAATTTGGGACTGGAGATGTCTCTGAGCTACAGGCAGTGACATATGGGGCCCACAAGCCGGCCCCGCAGTGCCAGGGAAACAGCAGCAAGTAGCTCAATGCAAACATCTACGCAGAGCAAGCAATTTGCACCTGATTCAGACATTACAACAGCAAGCCTGGCACCAGTCTGCCTTCCCTAGCCAAGGGTTGTGGATTTACTCTGAGAGCTACACCCTGGCAGTGCTTCAGCAATCTGTTCCTGGCTGCAGGGGCTGTGCAGGGGTTCATGAGGCTCAAAGTACAGTCAGGCACTAAGGGCAGCAAAGACAAGCTGAGCACTTCAGGCCCCTCCAGAGAATTGTAACTTTCTCACTCATTACTTCTACCACAGACAGTGTTTTCTGGGAGACTGCCACATAATTGGGAGGTAATGCTATGCTACATGGCTACTGGATTTAATGCTTCTAATCCCAAGCCTCTGGTCTTTCCCATCAAAAGGGAGAGCACCTGTGATCTCTGGGATTTGCAGTGCCAAAGAAGGAATCCCCTCCAAAAAAAAACACTTTGACACTCCAACCCTTATCCAGCCCTTCTCTGCAGTTGTCAATCTGTTTTAGAACGTTAGAATTATAAAACAAAATCCTCTGCTAGGATCCCTCGTGTGAGCAAGTTCCCTGCTAGTATTTAGTGCTCAAAAAATGAGTAGTCACAAAAATCACAGTGACCATTTGGGACTTGGCTAATACAAGGATTTACTTGGTAAAACAATTCCTCTGCTTTCTTGCAAGGCTTTTTCCCATCACCCTCACAAACACCAAGTCTTGTCCTCTCTGCAGGCTGCATGCAGCTATGCTTAGGGATGTGTCTACAAGCACAAGCCAAGTATGTCCAGTTAGTTTAATACTAACCTTCCCATTCTCTACACAAAAGGGAAGCCTGATGTGATGATTACAATCTGCCATTGAAAAGCTGGGAAAATCTTAAGCTATTTTTTAGGAATTTGGGTCAGTTGTATCAGTAACTAACAGATTTCTGACACCTACTCCTAGCAGCTGTATGTATCTGTGAGGTGAGGGCTGGTTATCTCCTTGACTTTCATCCACAGTAGCATACAGGGATTCAACCTGTCACTCCAGATGCTGCTAAACAACTCAACCCCAGGAGCCCCCAGCGCATTCTGAGCTCACCTGGCGGAAGAGCAGCTCCTGCTCAGCCTGCCTCTGCCCAGACTCCAGCTCCTGCTGTGGCTCAGCTTCCTCCTCATCGCTCTCGATGGGTTCTTGCTTCACCTGCACCATATTGGCCAGCCCTGGGACTTCCTTTTGGCTTGACACTCTGTCACTGTATGGCTCCTCCAAAAGGGCTTGGTGTTCTCGAAGCTCTTCTTCTGTCTCCTCTGGGTGGCTTTCATGCTGGCGAGCTGGCTCGTTGGGTTTTGATATTATCTGCAAACATCCGGGAGGTTAATTGATAGTAAAATGTAACTCACTGCAGGTCAAGTTTACTGTGTTCTCCTGAAAGAGTCAGCTTCGTGAAAAGAGAAATCGTGAACTATAGCTCTTATAAACAAGGTCTGAAACAACAGAGCAACAGAAAGGTCAGTTTAGTCTCAACATTAAGTGCCATCAAAGAAATACTACATCCTAAGTAATGAAGGCCCCTTAGTTTGCACTTGATTTTCCCCCTACAGCAATCAGAACCTCTTATGCCTACTCATCTATGGATGCTAGTGAATTCACAAATAGTGTAGCAACCATCAACACGTCCAGCAATTAAAATCCTGATAAATTAAGAGAGACAAATGCTCTCAGAGGGCTTCTGCTTCACTGTTTGTTCAACTTCTTCTGGAATCATCCCAGGAATTTTATCAAAAATTACCACAAATTATTGTAAATAACTGTGAGAATTTTCCCTGAAGACTCCTCCAAAACTTATGCTCTTTTGTAGTTAGTTAAGAGGAAACTGAGGACACTAAACTTACAGCATCTTTACAGAAACCAAGTGCAAGAAGAGCATCATTCTAATCAGACCTTCCTAACAAGAGGCAGTGAGCTTCTCCAGATGTGCCCGCTAAAACAAAGGGAACAATCTAATTTTCACTGTAATTCAACAAGCCCAAACGTTTTGCAAATAGATCAGTGAGGTAAAATTCTCAGCACCTGGTCTCAAACTGCTTATGATTTTTATTTGGAGCAAAAATGTATGTGCACTATTTTTAAACCCAGCAGAGGTAAATAGATTAATGTCCTTTCTTTTAAAGAGTTTAGACTGTACCCGTTTCACAAGCTTATAAAAAAAAATGCTGAACTTTGAAAGCTGTCAGGGCAGAGCTTTAATAGGGATTAGGTCATTGGTATGAAAAGCAATATTGATTTTAAATCTAATAAAGCTAAATCAAAACACGGTTATTGAACACATGCAGGAGTGACTACTTAAAAGTAACTCATTCTTTGAAGACCATTGACTCAAATCTGAAACTAAGCCTTTTTCCCTAAATGTAAGAAGAGAAGCTCTGCCACGTAACTTCAGCAAATCTATTCAAAGAAGATTTAGGCATAAAAAGGCCATATTAAGGATTAATTGCCTGAAAGTATCACACTAAGGACAGCAACAAACTGTTCATAACTACAGCAGAGGGTGTCACAGAAATGGGGTTCAAAACTTCCTTTATCATCAGAGCACTGTAAGGATGAGGATGCAGGGCTAGAGCTTTCTAGCACTTGCAGATTGCTGAGTTTTGTCTATCTCAGCTCCTGAAAGAAGCATAAGATGCAGAAGGGCCTTATCTTGCTTAGCATAAAGCAAAACCTGTGGGGTTCATCTGATCCCCAATGCATATGGTGGATGCAGTCCATCCATCCTAGTTACAAAGAGCCAATAATCTTGTACTGGTCAGTGACTGGTTGAATGGCTGCTGTTGGCAAGAGTGAGTTTCCATAACCACAGGGTCCTCTCTGAGAGTCAACAGCTGCTTGGAACAGATAGAAGCCACCTACCTACCTAGATAGAGCTTTCTCAATGGGCTAGCCAGCCTGGTGGTCAGCTTAACCTAAAAAAGCCAGGGCAGAGCGATTCCTCAACAAGCATCTCAGACAGCTGTGGACATTGTAGCCAAGCCAAGGGCACAAAGTGGTACGAGAAAATATGAAACAGCAATCCACAAAATAGCTGAAGTGGCACCCATTTGTGTACAGGCATGTGATAAAGGAGGTGGCTGCACTACAGCCTGGTGGGGAAAGCCCTCAGGTCTATCCTGGGGAATTTGCATACTTGACTCTGAAATGCCTCTGTACTGGTACATGAAGATCACACAGGAAGATCTGAATTGCGTGTGCAGTTATAGGGCCATGAGCTGCCCTGGAGCATGGAGGTTTGGTGGAATAACTCAAATGACTGGAGTGCTGTGATGGAGGGATGTTGGTCATTTAGGGAGGACAAGTTGGGATGTAGGGAAAAGGCTCTTTACACTGAGAAAAAAGCAGGAATGCACGGAATTCTGCATCTTGGTATGGGTCTGGAGTTAGAGATCAGCAGGCAGACCAAGATGGGTGCTTATGTAATGGGTAGGCTGCTACAGACTTCCTGATCAGACAGAAGTAGGTGAGGGCTACTTTGAAGTGCTGGCGGAATGTGACACCACAGTGGAATTCGAGACCCAAAGAGTAGAAAGCATGGTGAAGAGCAGGACTATAGCCATGGATTTCAGAAGAACAGACTTTAGCCTCTTCAGATATCTGCTTGGAATAGCCCCATGGCTATAGCACAGGTAGCAGAAGGCCAGCATGGATGAGCAGAGATCTCCTACCTGAGCTTGACACAAATGGGCAGTATAAAAGGGGTGCAAGTAGGACAGGTGACCCACAAGAAGAGTGTTGACATATGATCTTGCAGGGATGATGCTAGGAAACCCAAAGTTGACCTGGAATTGAATCTGGCAAGAGATACGATGGAAAACAGACAAAAAGATCAGGGAAAATGTGGGACCACTGCCAAAGAGGGACCTGGTTACATGGACATGCGCACAAAACTCAATGCCTTCTTCACCACTAAGATTGGCTTTCAGGTATCACATGCTCCTGAGTCCAGTGGGGAAGTTAGGAGCAAAGAAGCCAGTAGATGAAGACCAGGTTTAGGCATTATTTAAACTAAACATACCTAGGCCTATCAGGCCTGGGGTGCTTCAGTCACACATGACAGAACAAGAAGCACTGGGCAGAAATTAAAGCATACAAATTGAACATTATATAACTCTTTTTTTTTTTTTTTTTTTTTGCTGTGAGTGTGGTCATACACTGGAACAGATTGCCCAAAACAGTTGTGGAGGTCTCCATCCTTGGAGATACTGCAAACCCAGTTGGATGTGGTCTTGGGCAAGCTGCTCTGACTGACCCTGTTTGGAGCAGACGATCCCAAGAGGAGCCTGCAAATCTAAATTATTCTGTGATAACTTCCTGAGGATTTTTGTGGGTTCTTCCCCACAGAGCCTTCATCTCTCCAGTTTCGTGACTATTTACACACACACACCTGCACAGCTAAACCACGTTAAGCTAAAGGTAGTTCTTCATCAGTTTTCTTTAAGCTTACTGAGGCCTGATGAATATAATCTGCCTTAAAGGTAATTTAATCACCATAAATCACCACTGACTTTCTTCTGCTTGGATCATAGCTCTTAGGCTTTGAACTTGATACCTTTTCAACTTATGAACTATGCAAGGTGAGTGAAATGCTGGTAAAATAACTCACAATGTCATTGTCAAGTCTAATGGAAATGAGAAGCAGCGTAATTCCCTAGAAGTTTAAAATTATTCAAATTCCATTAAGACATAGTAATTTAATGAAAAGCACATTGTAAAATGCTACAATGCAGGCTGAAAGATCAAGTGGTCCATGACAAGGTCATTTCAAACATTCTGTTTGCTGTCCTGATATAAACTGAGTCTGTCGGTATGTCACTTGTTCCAGCTGCTGCAACCCAATTCTTCTGCAAAGAAAGTACTGCTATGAACAAATTTCACATAATTCACAATGCTGCACACCCCAGGCCCATAAAATAACTAAAAATGACTTGAAAATCCTCCTTTTTTTTTCTAATTCTATGGACACATGCTCAAAACCAAGATGTCAACTGAAGAAAAGCTATGGTAATCTAAGTGCAGGGGAATGAATATAAAGTTAAGAGAGCATTTTAAATGGTCACAAACGTATCTTAAATAGTAAACAATTACGCAGTGAACCATAAACAACCCTCTCCCTTACTTAGCTCTTCCATATCCTTTTGCAATGAGGTTATTCCCCTATTTTTAAACACTGTCACCCCTGGCAATGACACACTGCCACCATAAAACACAGTGAAAGGCACTGCCTCTCTGGTCTTAGACAACTCTTTCAGCACAGAAGTAACAACTCAACTCAATTCACAAGCATTAGTAAGAATCAGGCATCAGATGGCCACATTTCTTATCTTCCTAGAAAGATAAAAAGAAAAAAAACAATATAGCAACTTGAGGTCCCAATACAAGGAAATTCACAGAATTATTCATTTTTCCATGGAATGCTTCATATAGAAAAATTTTTAAAAAGAGGATCTGTTCTTTGTTAGTAAAATTTCAGTTGGCACGTGTTGTATCTACTACATACTTCTGTATCTATTGCTTCTCGTTATCTTTTCTGATGCTAAAAGGCAGATGAAGAGCTCCTTGGGAAGTAGATGCAGAGATGAAGTATTTCAGTGAGGGTCTATGGATTTCCTATTGGAAATCTCTGATTAAACTGTGCACCTCTGAATCTGTCCCCGAGAAGACAAGCAGTTACAGAAGACATTTCTGGTCCTACACAAATAAAAGGCTCTTTCAGAAATGAAAGGCTGACAGAGCAGGGCATGACTGTAGGTAAAACTTGAAAATCTCAAGATCTCTTCCAATTTCTGAGTGCAACAAAGGAACCTGGCGTGACTCCGTTGTTTCTCCTCATTGTAGTTACTGAAAAATATAGAATAACTGAGAATTGCTGACAGGTCTGCTTTCAAAAACCAGATTAGCGACAGTTTTTTTGGAACACAGCATACCTGCTGAAGGGAATACATCCTTCAGAATACTCATGGCTGCTGGACAGACCGGCATGTAAAGGACATGGGTTGGGGGCTGAAAGCACCACACACAGCTTTGAACTTCAGGATAAACTGTCACAGTTCCATACAACTCATTCAGGGTTATCTACAGGTAGAATGAGCTCAAAGAGATCATGCTTGACAACGTGCCAAAAGCCCATTCCACTCTGCTAGATAAGTAGAGTGGGCCAACTTTGCATAGATAGGAAGATGTTGAAAGGCAGATCAGACAACATTACTGCTGAGAACAAGCCCGTTTCTGTGCTTGGAATGGCAGAGCATATCCAGTGGGATGGAGCAGCCTCCCTGTTTGGGTAATGGGGCCAAACAATGGATGTTACCAGTTGGGACCCCACTCTCCTTCACTGCTAACATCAATCATGCAGAGGAAGAGAGAAGAGGAAACCTCCCTTTCCTTCCTCTGCAGATGAAAGAGGACACTCAGGGAAGAAAGAACAACTCTGGAGAGGCAGCTTTGGTAAAAATGAGAAAAGAGAGAAGATGTGGTGACAATAAGGGCTCAGCTCATAAGCATCCTAAGCAAAAAAAAAATGTCGCTCGAATTAAGGATATAGCTAGGAATTGAAAATTGAGAAGCACTGGAGTGACTACTGGCAGGGATGCTCAAGGAAAAGGGAAGCACCAGCAGGGAGGCACAAAGCATCTTGAGAGGAGCAGGCACATGGACAAGATTTTGGAGGAGAAAATTGAGGGCTTGAATGAACCACTCAGAAATGGTAACACAAGCCCTCCTCTTTTGGCTATCAAGGTTGACTCTTATCACTCAAGGCATTCCCTTGAAGAATGGGAAAGTCTAGTTTTTTATTTTCATAGGCTAAAGAGAAGAGATGGTATGGAACAATGGGGAGAGGCAGCACTGGGCACAGGCCACGATGCAGGCAGCTGGCACAATGTTCTGCAGCAGCTGAAGACAAGAAAAATTTCTTTATTTCCTTTCTTTTTTTTACCCCCTCAAGTGATGAGACAGCAAGAACACTAACTGCTGGAAGCAGCCCACCTGCTGGAAGGACCACCAGCCTGCTCACCTCTGTGCCTAGGCAAGAGGGAACGACTGAGCTGCAACAAGCCAAAGAACAGGGACTGTCTGGGAGGAGAATAGGAAGGGAAGCAAGAAAAAAAATGCTTTGGCAACAGCAGAAGCTGGTTTTTTTCTTCCCTCTCCCAAATAATTGGAATTATGGACTTGATTATATCAGGTGTGTCGAGCTTTGCAACAACAACACACAGAGCAATGGCTCCTGGCAAAACCCCTTAATAGCATGTATGCAGCAACAGGCACATTTCTTGAAGAAGATGAAAACTCCTTGTTACTTTATCCATCAGCCTGAAAGTAAAGAGAAGAGAGTGCAGGGGGAAATTGTTTGAGTGATAAGTGAGTAAGGACTACTCCTAAGCAGGTTTTCCTTAGACTTTCAATGGATAACAGCCCCAGCTGAATGTTGTGCAATACAATCTACAGCATATTTTTCCAATCGTACAAATTGAACATTATATATTAAAAAGCACTCCAGAAGTCACTTGAGGCTAAACAGCCAATGTGTTCCAAAAAAGAAAAATTCAGGAAATAGCAAGGTTAAATTCTAGGTGTTAGTAAAACTGTATCCACCCAATGCTGCTGCACTACAGACAAGTCAAGGCACTGTAGTCTGGCATACATACCTGTGCCATATATATGCCACAGCTGGAGAAACACTGCTCTTTCCAGTGTGTTAAAAACGGGGTTTACCCAGGAGAACCACAATTTGACCACAGAAGCTCTGTGTTAATCTGCTTAACAGCACAATTCAGGACTAAAAGGGAGATTATCTGATCTATGAAAGCTTCGTGAATTATACATTCAGTGGAGTGATGCCAAAAGACTCATCTTCACTACAGAAAGGTAAGAAGTTGAGTCTTCTGGCACAGGATATATGGAAATCTCACTTGCATATTTCTCTTCAGAAAGGGAATGGCTGCTTCAAGAACCATCATGCTGCAAAGCTATTCTTTTAACTCAAAACACCCAGAGAACACTATCCTGCTTCTCCAGGCTCCAGAAGGCTGGCATGACAAAAATACCCCCTGATGCCAACCTCCAATGACACAGAGATCTGCAAGCAACACACTGCTTCTCTCTCACACATAAGAAAGACTAAAATTGTGTCTTAAAAGAGACTGAGGCCTGCAGAGAAATGATTGTTACAGAAGGTGAAATGCTGCCAGGACTGGCGTATATATATTTATTTCACAGCAAAACAACAATTCCTCACCCCCAGCAAAGCTCCTCCGACCATGAAAAAGCCTCACAAATATTCCCAATGAACGTTTGAATGTTAAACATGCAAAAAAAGGTGGGAAACACAGGCGTGCGTTGCTAGTGCAATTTAAGGTCATTTCTCCAATGCACCTGTGTTAATGTATAGCTTTTTTTGTTTTTTTTTCAGGCTTGTTTAGTATTTACTGTTCCAGGGCTCATGCCTCATTCAGATCAAAGGTTGCACAGAGCTCAGTTAACAAGGAGTGATCCAGTATCTCATCCAGAATCTTCTTTACTGAACCAACCCCTGGCTCTGAAAGAAGGGACTGTTGAACTTTTGTATGGATTGGGGGCATGATCATCCCTGCAAATGTTACTGCACCCAAACTCACAGCAACTCGACTGAGGGAAAGGAGAGGAGCTGCTCCATGCCACTCAACAAGCAGCTCAGGCAGAGCACAGGGCTGGGCAGCATCAGAGAAAGCCAGTTTTGCAGCCCTTTATCCCTTGTTGCTCCTTGTCTGCCCTCTGCTTGTCTCCATTTTTAAGGGAACGGTGTTTTTGGGGGCCTGTGTGTGCTTTATTTTCCCTCCTCAAAGCAAACACAAACATCACCACCAGCTGACAACACAAACACTGGGTGTGCAGCCCTCATATTCCCCCATTTGTCAAATGTCAGGTTGCAGCTCCATAGCCTCAAGCACCAAGGCTTTAAGGCAGAATCCCCTAGGTGATTATTCTTACTCTTATTATCAGGGAGCAAAAACTACCTATTTTTCCTTAGCTGCCCCTTTGGAAACAAGACTTGTCTGAGCTAAAATCTAATCCGATCTAGATATTAAACAGGGAAAGTGTAAGGCCAAAATCTTTAAAAATCACAAGCAATTGAAAACAGTCTCACGTTATTTACAGGAACTATAACCCAAACCCGAACAGACAGCGCTGTCAGTTCTGCTAATAATTAAAAGGCAGCAATCTATTACATTATTTTTAGTTGTGCCCTCACGCTCCTGCACACAAGGGTCTTAAAATATCCGTGTGTCTGGGAAAAGTCTTCTTCCGTGTCAGCACTTGGATGCTGTCCCACGGGATAAATTTGCCACACGCATACAGAGCGAGCACCGAAACGCTGTTAACTCCTTGCTTCTATAAATCAAACACACGGAAACTGCCCGTGTGATGGGTTTAACTGCACTCCCCCCGTAGATGTGCTGCATCCCCAGGTTAACAAAGCTGAAATTCAGGCTCCTCCAACGGCACGCTCTGCAGCTTCTGGGAGGTCCGAGTGAAAGGCTGCATGAGCTGGGGAGGTACGTCACAGCGAGCCTTTGGATACTTCCAAGTGCTGGCAATGGAAATGCTGCAAAACTAAAACAAACAAACCACTGAAATGGACTTCCTAACAAAGAAACCCTACCCAGCGCCCCGAGACCCAACGTCTGCTGCACGGAGTGTGTCGGGGGGGAGGGAAAGGAAACTTCTCTGGCCACAGCAGCTCCCAGCAGCCTGGTGTGTGGGGCCAAGCCGAGCCAGGGCTGGCACATGCACTGCATGATGGCCACCATCCAGAAGTACACGACTGACGTCAGCAGCTTGTGTAATCATCCTGCCTTCGCTCCAGTCCATAAACAGCACTTCGGGGGGCAGGAGGGGGGGGCTTTATTTAAATTGTTGCTTTCTTCTCACTGGAAACTTGTTTTCTGCTGTTTTTTTTTCACCCAGCTCTCCGTAGTTCTGTTTTCTCGTACGACAGAACAGTGGAAATGTTTGAAGAAATCTCCACCATAAATTAAACTGCAGCAACCCCAAAAAGGTGTATGCCTGCTGTCTGACTCGTCTCCCTGAGCCCGAAGCCTATCTGTGGGCTTGTGTTGTAAAGAAAGCCACGACTGGAAATGAACCAGCACCAATAAAAGAGCCAGAAAAATATCGCACTGCTTATGAAGTATTTCCTCCTTCCCTCACAGCTTTTTTACACTGAAAGTCTATCAACAGACTGTGTCTTCTGACAATATCTCAGCTGGGACCAGCTCCATCCGTATCACTGGTGATCAGATCTCACCCTTAGAAAGCAAGCTTTACCTCCTGGGCTAAAACACCAGGACAGATGTTGTCTTTTTTACATGCACGCCCGAGCAATCACCCTAGAGCAGCTCTGTTTGAGATTTATCCATAACATCGGGATGCCCAAGCTGCAAAACCTGCACGTTGGCAAAGTGTTCTGCAGTGTTCACCTGATGTTGCCTAAGTGATGTACAGAAAGCGAGATATTAAACGTAGAGCTTTCGTTCTTCAAAGTTAATTTTTGAATCACTTCTAATTAATCTTCAAAACAATCTCTGCAGGATGTGCAGCAATACAGCCCTCGTTTTCAGGAGAAGAAACGGATAGAAACCTGTCATGTTTTACACAGGGACAGAGTTAAGAGGATCTAAACTGGAGATGGGAACAGCTTCTCTCTTTCCAAAGGTAATCTCATTGAAAAACACCTCAGTACGTCTGGAAGTCTTCCCTTTCAGTTATTTTCTAATTTTGTCATGTCTGAAATCTCTCATTTTTTCTCTCAAATTCATATTACCGCTCCTTCTCCTGTTCACACCAAACGTACACACAACAGTTATTTCTCCCATATTACCTGACAGCTTTTTAAGTTCTCTGCTGCAAAACTGACAAAGATCTAGATGTGGATGAACAGCAACAATGACAGCTTTAAAAAGTATTACTGCAAAGTTTGAATCGTACTGCTTCCCACTGCTTGCAAGAGAGGTATCGATCCTCACTGCAATGATGCATGCCCCCATCCTTGTTGATGTATTTCTCCAAATCATGAAAAAGAGGCTCAAGGATGAAAGCCAATCGGTTATGGAGTCAGACACCACATACATTACAACACAAGAAACCATCAAAGCGTTGGCTACTGCTGGAGTCGATGCCACATGAGGAGAGAGCCTTTAAAAGTGTTGTGCCTACCTTGTTGATGTGCAGTTGTTGTTGCTGGAATTGCTGTTTGTGTTTCTCCAAGAACTGCTGGTGCTGCTGCTGGATCACTAACTGCTGGAGGGCTTGGGCGTTCTGGGGAAGGGGAGCAGACTGCGTGCGCCCCAGTGGGCGATGCTGCCGGAGTTTGTGTATTGAAGGGGAGACCCGTTCTCCACCAACCAGAGACTGTGCGTGGAGGGGCAGTCCTGAAAGATACCAGTCTGAAGATAATATGGAGGAAAAAACAGCAGAGAAGAAAAAAAGGAAGAAGAAAGGAAGGGAGAAAACGGCTGTTGAGTAACACTGATGGTGACAACAACATATAACGTTAAAACCAGCCACCTCACCATTTACAGCTGAAGTATCCTTAAAAGAGAACAGATAACCATTAATGACCACTGGATGGAATAACACTTTTAAATTCTTTGCTTGCCTGTTTACTCATAGACCCTAGACAATATTTCATTCTTAAATTCAGCAATATCTTACGGACCCTTCTATCATTCAGTGGATGACATCAATTAGATGCACAGTGATGGCTCTGAGGAGAAGCTGAAGTCTAACAACTTGCCTTGGTAAAGCAAGTCATCCCAGCTTCTTTTCTAGGACAGCACCAACCTTTGCTGCTGCCCTGCAGCACGCAGCAGCTCTGCCTTAGGGGATGCTCTCAGACGTGCTGAAGGATGATGGCTGATGATGGAGCTGGTTCTCTCTCTAGATCATGTAGGGAATTCCTTGGTGGTGCTATAACTGCTCTGTAGAAGTGACTAAGGATGAAGACATTCATGTGATAAACTGCTGACCATGATTGCTTTGGAAAAACATGAATGCATTTCAGGAATTTGAGAGCCAAGAGATATCATTATTTCTTTAGAGATAATTTAGAGGATAAAGCGTTAAAAAGATTTCCATCCCTGTCCTGTATATTGATGCTAGTAACTCAACTAAAACACAAAGCTGTTTTTTGGGATGTCATGGGTTACTCATATGCCCTGGGCAATTTGGATGACTACCATGTGAAACCTATCTGAGCTCTTGTAAGGGCATATCTGCAGGAACTGTCTTCTTTTTTTCTTGGTAAGCCAGTTCTTGCTCTGCTCTCTTAAGACATACCTTTACATGCTTCTTAGAAAGCTGGGATGTGAAGACACACCCGACACAAAACCAAACCCAAGGGTGGAGTTGCTGAGGGTAAGCCTTTGCAAGCTATACTTTGGGAAAGAAAGTCATAACTAGTGTGAATGGTCACCTCCCTAACGTGGATAAGACTGCACGTAGTTTTGGGAAAAAAAGTACCTCATTGTATAAAACAGTCAAAACTGCTCAAATAGTAACGTTGAGACCTGGTTCTAGGCTTGGAGAAGTTCAAAAAAAGAGCAAAGCTGTACAGAAGTCTGCAGCCAGCTGAATGAAGCAGTTCAGAAACACCTGCAAGCTTCTGGCCCAGGACAACGCCTCCTTGTCCCGTTAATTTACAGAACTGCCCTACATGGAGGAAACCAATTAATTTAGAGGCCTCTTTTCTTGGGCCAGTTTGCCCTTTACTTTTCTGAAGAGATTTGTTTAAAAGAGTATCTCATTTTATAACCGTGTGTGTGCGTATGTATACATACATACATAAATATACATGCGTGTGAACATATGAATCGTTTGAAAGGACGTGGTCCATCTTCCTTACAGCAATGTCCAAGTTAGACAGTTGAGGAAGGGATCTTACATGACTGTACAGGACATCTTGGAAGACTACTTGTCTCCAAGTGAATGACCAAAGTCCTCCTGCGAAGATTTCGAAGGAAGACACATTGCTCCTGCTCAGTAAATACATGTCAGTGTGACAGACATGATCCAGAGTAGTCTGGTGCAGGAGCAATGCCAGGTCTGCTCTAGTGGGGGACACAATTGTACTGCCTAGATTCTATTACCACTTTCTACTCAAGGTGAATCACTTACCGTGCTCCAGCTAAAATCCAGACATTAGATTTGCAAAATCAGTACCAAGCTCATAAGATCAGCACACCACTGTCCAGCAGAGACTCTTAGCTCCCCCAAATCCCCACGTCTAACTGCATGAAGCCAGCATGCTGTGTGCTGGATAATTTTGCAGTAGTCAGGAGACTATCTCCACAGCTAAAGGCTACCAACAGAATACTAATAACTCCACTTTGCTTCCAGGGAAGCTGTAAGTACTAACTGTAGTCTGGCAGCCAGTCCACTTAGGGCTTTTGAGACCACGTGTTAGCTTGCTCTGTTTCAGTTGCTGCATCTGGAGCGTGTGCTTCTTGTTGCTGCTCTGCTGTATAGTGAACATTTCTCCTTGGTGTCAGTTTGTTACAAGTTGTACTTGCTCTAAAAACACCACACACTGCAGGTGGACTAGAAGGAATACACGTAATACACTGTAAACAGATGGAAGCTTTGAGAGAGGTGGAATAGGAAACAGAACAGCACTCCCTATGAGCTCTTTAATGCAAATACCTGTACAAATGGGGAAAAGTTTTGGTGATATGATAAGAGAAGAAGTCTTTTGCAATGACTCTTCATCAGCAGTCCTCTGTCAAAGAACAACTGGTGAAGAGACACGTCATGACTCTGGGCACAACATCACACCATAACAACTATGATGGAATGCAATAGAAAACTACATTAAGGCTCAGGGAACCTGCACGCACCACTCTCACAGCTCTGAGGGTGCTGCTTTAACACCACACTTTTGTGTCTCAGATTCTCCATATGTACATGCTTATAAGCTTATCACAACCCCATGTATATTCTGGGAATTCAAATTTAAAACCAGACACGGTTCAAATGCAGTGCTGTAATGTTTCAGCAATCAACATCTCCAAGTGATTTCAGAGAACCACAGAATCCTTTGTCTGGGAACTTCATAGCCCACCCAGCCCCCACCCCTGCTGTGGGCAGGGACACCTTCAAGCAGACCAGGCTGCCCAAAGCCCCATCCACCCTGGCCCTGAGCACTGCCACGGATGGGGCAGCCACAGCTTTTCTGGGCATTCTCTGCCAGGGCCTCACCACCCAAGAAATTTTCCATTAGAAATGGAATGAAAAAAATAAAAATCAACACGTCTGTAACTTAAGCAGAAAATCCTTTGTCCCAGTACTACACACTGTCAAACAGAAATGTGTCCTACTGGGAAATATTGCTTTGAATCAATCCTATTTATAGAAATACGCCTTCCCACAGGTACTTAATTCTGAAAACATGACACAGGGAGTGATTCAAAGCAATTAACATACTGCAAATGTAACATATACAAACAAATACAATCTGTTTGAACGCAGTTGGTTTTGCCACGTTTTTGCCATTTGTAATAATGATAAAAAGCCAGTATTTTAATCTGTGATTTTGCAAATGCGTGCTTCGTTAGACATGGAACAGAAACCATCAGTGATAAACAGGAAGGGTAATCACAAGACACAGCAATTTTGTTGCCTCTTCACAGTGGCTAGAACTGGAACAACATTCTTCAAGTTGTTACATGCATAAGAAAAGCAGAAATAGCAAGTTAATGCTATTTAATTTCATTTTGCCAAACTGACAAGGCATCTTCCTCCTGCCTCTGGATGGTGTGGCTACTCTAGCTGGAAATGTATTCATTGTATACATCGGAGAGCCTACAAATTTGTAAGTTAAACCAACAAAACACACAGATAATGTTCAAGACCCTGCATGTCAGGCTCTGCACATTATCCACCACGTGCTCACCTGTGACTAAGGGGGTTTGTGCAGTTGGCTGTTCCAGTAAGACCATGTGCTGCAGAAGAGGGTTGTGTGCGGTTCCCCCATCTCTTTCCAACGTTGTAGTGCTCAAGTAGGGAGTGAGGTGGGTGCCAGGAAATAAAGAGATCCGCTGCTGCAAGGCTGGGATAGCAAGTCTCTCAGCATCCTGCTGCGCTGATCCTCCCTGCAAACACCCAGGCGACGTCAGGGTGGGTTAAGGGAGAAATCAAGCACCAATTCGAAGCCCGCATTCCCCATCACTTACGCTGGAAGGGCCAGTTGCAGGCAGTCCTAGTGTGATGTTGGGCAAAGAAGGAGATGTGTAGAGTGGAAGCTGTGTTACAGAGCCTTCACGATTCACCAGTCGGTGAGCCAGGCTGGTCTGCAAACAAAATGAAGAACACTGTCCCAGTGAGACTGCACCACCGATGGGAGGGAGGATGCTGCACAGTGGCTGTGAGGGCCCATCAGGAGAGTACAGAGCAGGAAATTTCACTTCTGACACTGAGAATACTGAAAGAGAGAGCTTCAGATCCAGCCTTACTTCTCTTTCTATAGAGTGCTTGCCCTTCTAAAGCTACAACAGATTACCGAAACAATCAGACAGGCATTACTCTGGTGGTTGTTCTCTTTAGCAAATCACAGACAATTTGTTCTATTTACCAGTGTGCTTTAGCTTAAGTCAGACTTCAAAATTTCATCAAAGAGCCTTTTTATGTTGCTATTCCCCGATTTTCAGGATGAAATGTGAGATTTACTGAATTACCTTGCGGCCATTTAAAGCAGGAACACTGAAGTAAAAATACCTAATTACAAAATGAGATTGATTTGAAATACTTGGTAGAAAGCCCATTATAAAAATTACATTATTTTAAACTGCCTGATTTTTCTATTAGGAAACAAGTGTTCTGTTCACTTAAATCAACTACAGTAAAACTTACATAAACAGCTTAAATCAAACAGCCTTTAGATTTCAGGAAGATTTTCTATGGAATTTCTATCGTTTTAACTCAGTTGCTGCTGTGGAAAAAAAAGTACTAATGATTAATCTAGTATGTTACAATGACATACATTATTCCCATAGCATAAGAGATCTGGATAACGGATTTATACATTTCAGACCTAAATAGCTATGTGAGGAAATGGGACTTGGCAGGTTACTTCCTTGATTGCAAGACTGGGCCAGCTCTGGGTAACAAAAACCTGCTTTTCTCCTCAAAAGGTGAAACGTGGTGAGTAACATCACTGCAGCAACCACCAGAGGGGAAAAAAGAGCACTAAAATAAGAAAAAGTATTGAAAAACAAGTAATGCACAGCAACCTTCAGCAGCAATCCTGCCTCCTTGGTTCTGGTGGGCCAGTTGATATCTCTCCCAGGAGAGCCCAACTTTGTGAGCTGGGCTTAGAGGTGCCCATGCAGGAAGAGCAAACCTTCCCATGACTGCATGAGTCACCTTTATGTGATGCTGGGCTGGGCTTGCAGATGCAATCTTTGCTGTGCCACAAACCTGCAGCCCCTTGTCCCAGTGTCCAACCAGGTCTGAATTCCATCCAGCAAAGCTGCTTAACTTTCATACGATACTGTGCGAAATTTCATCTGTAGAGTGAATTTTTTATTTCCCTTTGTCTTACTGTGCCTTCATTAATGTCAGTCAAGCTTATGGGAAATATATTAAAGAGTAAATCTGCTTTTAAGATCTCGGTTACAAATTTGCTGCCACAAAGGAGGAAATTGGAAAAGAGCATTTTGCTGTTGAATGGTACCTGCTAAGGGTGTATGATTGTGCATACCCACACACTTATTTTTTCGAGTAATTCTGAACACTACTGGCAATTTGCCTTTAATTTAAATAACACAAAATGTTAGCACGCCACATTGAGAGCAAGATAGTTATTGCCAGCAGAGTAATGAAATATTTTACTGATACCGTAAACGAAATAAACCAACATCCATTTTCTCTTTGAACAATCGATAAAGTGTAGTTGTGCCTCAAACCATCTCCTGGGGATTTGTTTTAGAAACAAGGATGAGAAAAACAGCAGCTTGACACTATAAGGATAAGATATTTAGCAGCATTATCATCACTTTAAATATACAAATCCCATCTCTGGATTGTACACAAACAATGTTAGAATTGCACAGAAGAGAGCAATTTCAGCATGCACAATTTTCCCCTGTAATCGAGTACTTTTTATAGGCTCCTACCAGCTACAATGGCAATGAATATCACGTACCTTTCCAAGGCAAAAAAAAGCCTTCAGACTTAAAAAACATTATTTAAAAATAGGCATTGTCTTTTTCAAAGGAAGCAGAGAGCTCAAGTCTTTCTATTTGGAAGGCAAGCACTTGAACTTGTAATGAAGTCCCAATACCACATTCCAGCATACCTGGAATGGTTCAAGAGGTGACCCAGCAAACTAACAAGCAGAGGGACACATTTCTCACTTAAAATTAGAAAATATAGGTAAGCATAGAACAGAAAGTTGCCAACACTAATTTTTCAGAGGCATTTCAATAAATATTCTACACAAAAGTGGGAACATAATGCAAGCCTGGTCGACTGGTATCAAATAAATCTTATTCTCCTAGGCTGTTGGGGAATATTTCTTACACCAAAGAGGATTTGAAAGAAACCAAAACCCTGCCACATCCAGTTTTTCCCAAATAAACCTGTCCAGGCAAAGGGATCAGCTAGTTTCACACAACACAAAACGCAGAGCCATTTTCCCCCAGACTGATGCAAGGAACTAGGACGTTTAGCTAAGCCATTCAAGTATGCCTGAAATGCTGGGAGAACAATTTGTGTGATGGGTTATCGACGTCCTGTTTGCCATAATACAGTGATTTATACTTTATTCTGTTCTACGATGGCAGTGATCCAATACACTTTATGTAGTCCTGGATAGCTTTAACATTAAAACTGCACAATCGTTTTTAAGCTATATATTCATTATTTAAAAAAAAAAGAAAATAGGAAAAGGTGAAAACACTCCATTCATTCTCTTCAGAGAGATTAACAACTACATTTTCTTCCTGCTTTTTGTATAAGAAGATGGTACATGACATGTTGTTCTTTTTAAAATGTTAGCTCAAGGTGCTTCCTTCCTCCCATGCAGCGGTATTGATGTGAATTAGCCACTGCAATACAGCTGCAAAAAGAGGTGAAGGGAAGGTGGTGGCCTTTGATGCTCAGAGGCTTGCAGTTTGCTAAGTATAGATAAGATTGACAGCTCCTGCATCAGCAAAGCTGGTAGATGAGCACTCATCCTCCTGGAGCTAACAGCTACATAACTAGAAAGTGCCTGCAGTTCAGCCAGCCTTCAGCTTCACAAACCTAACCAATAACCAATAACCCCTCTCATAACATCTTTTCTCAGATCTGCTCCAAATTACTAAATGGAATGCATCTAAAAAAAACACATTTCTTCAGAACAGCACCAGTTTCCAGGGCCAAGCTAAGACTAACTTAGACTGCTCAGCCTTCACAATACTCGACTTAATCCTTTAAGATCCACAGCAGAGTGGATGAAGACAAGTTTTGGGTAAGTCAGCAGGGGAGAATATAGAGTGGGATGCATATTCCCTACGTAAAATCATAGAATCAGGTTGGAAAAGATCTTAAAGACCATCAAATCCAACCATGACCTAACCATGTTACCCTAACTCTAACAACCCTCCTCTAAATCACGTCCCTGAGCACCACATCCAGGGATGGTGGCTCAACCACCTCCCCACTACATAAGGAATAAAAGGAAAATTTGTAAGACAGATGCTATATTCATTAGGAAGAACAACTGAGGGCAAGCTGGATAAAAAGAAATGCCCCAATGACATGACACAGCCACCCTGGTTCTCTAAGGCTTGTAGCGAGGGACAGTTAACACGGCCTACACCCCATAATATGCCTTTAGGAAAAGGTGGGCTTCAGTAACACCAAACACAGTGCTGTGTTGAATCCAGCCCTTCTACCCAGCCCAACACCCTGCCCTGACAGCCACAGCAGGTGCCTCAAGTGAAGGTGGGAGCCTATGGCATTGCAAACCTCAGCACATGTATCTGGCAACACGCTTTCAACCCTAAATGGGGAGGAAAAAGTTCAATCTGTTTAATCCAGTTCTGCTTTGGCCATACTCATAGTAACCTCCTGTGAGCAAGATCACCCTATATACAATGTATGAGAACAGATGCCCGATACATTAAAACCCTTGTGCTTGACCAGGAAATGCTCTTCGTGTTTTACCTTGTCAAATCACTCTATTTTTACTCTCCACTCAGAATAAAACCAGCACAAGTTACCACAAGCAGCTCCTGAGCTGGTTCAAACTGGATTTAATAAACAGGTAATGCATCCTGTCAGCCCAGCCTGAGAGGTAATTCCCCAAGTCTGCTCCAAGTCATGATCTGGGGTTTGCAGCGTTCCACACACCCTGTCTGTGTGCCCCAACACCTAAACCCCTGTGCGATCTGATTAGAAACCCAAGTGTTAAAACCCAGAGAAAGGAAAGGCTCTGTACCTCTGCTTGAATACTGGTGACTGATCCTGTAATTCCGTTCTCAGCGCTGATGTTATTGGAGCTGTTGTTTGGAGAGCTGGGACCAGATCCAGGAGCACTGTTGCACGCCGAGTCTAAAACACATCCAAAACCAACTTTCAGCATGACAAGCAATCTCTGAGATGATATTCAGGCAGATAACAATCCTCCAAGTTTTGTTTTGGAGGAAGGCAACCCTCCTCCCCATCTCCTCCTTTAAATTTTCACAGGGCTCTTAAAACACTGATACGCACTTTCAAACGGCCTCTCCAAGCACCTACTCACCTTATTTATGTATTCTCCTCATGGGGATTTCTCTTTAAAAGAGTATTCATGACCTTAAATACAATTGGAAGATGATAAAAGACACGGAAAGCTTGCAGAGGCCGAACAGCAGTTATGTGGGATTGTTCTGCATCATTTTTCCAGAACGTTTCTTTAAACCTCATTAGCCTCCAGTCCTACCCCAACTCCGTGTCACCACGAATTGTGCTGGATTTTGCTCTTGCCTCAAAGGGAACCATTTCAGTATGGACGTTCCACAAAAAGCCAGGTGAAACTCCACTGGATTCAAGAGAGACTAAACCCACTTCAAGACACTGCCTTCTTTTTTGGCAAGTCTTCTCCACTCTGAGAGCAAACCACTTTCTCACTGGAAGACCTAAAGCAAAATTAATGCCTCCGGATAGTTCTGTTATCACCAGGACTGGCAGAAAATCCTCTCACCTCGCTATGTTTAATCAACACACTCCCTGTGAACTCGCCAGCCAGAACCACAGAGATGGCCAGCTTGAAATCAAAGCCTCCCCATTAATTATGTAGAACTAACAACAAACAAAACCAGAAGATGGAATTGCAACAGCCAGAAAACTTCCCTCCTCACGTCTCTCAACCTGTGCAAGGCACAGCTTCCAGTGTTTCTCTTTTTTTTTTTTTTTGAAAGTAAATAACATTAAAACATTTTTTTTTTCCTGAGCTTTCCTCCACCCTCAGGCACAGGATTTGCCCAACATCAGAAGAATCTCCCAGCAGCTGCAAGGGTTCAGGCTGCAGCAGTCTCATAACTGCTCTAGGATGCCCCAGAAGAAATAAAAGCCAACTGTTACAACTCGGAGGATTTCTTAACTACCTGTAGAGGCATTATTCTACATATTGCTATTTCGATCACTGCAAGGACCTCCATCAAATCATCAGAGATGTCTGGTTGGCTTTTTTTTCTCTCTTTGCTTTTAGCAGGCTAAGAGCTTAGCAATGAGTAACACCAAAATGAGCACCTGACATTGAACTTCTCTATGAAAAAACATTCTGACTGCATGCAGAACAGCCTTTTGGTGGGGTTTTTTTGGTACCATGTCACTACCAACAATATAGTAGATTTCATGTATACTACCTAGAAGTAGGAAAACTACCACATTCAAACTTTGACTCTATGAAGATGTATTCTCCAAGGATTAAAAGTGATTTCTTACCCTTGCAGAGGGACTGTTAGAAGTTATGTTACACTCAGAAGTCTGCTCTTACCATAATTGCTCCAACAGACATTCAAACCCTCATCTGTGCACCCAGAGCCAGCACCAAGCACAGCTCTGCTCCTGCTCAGCTTTGCTCAGATATTTCTCCAGGCAGACTCCAGGCTGCCTTCCAGAACCAGGTCTGTGCCCAGAGAGAAGCAGGAGCATCCACTGCTATCTCTGAGGGCATTATTTGGATCACACAGTCAGACACTGGGGCCTGATTTATCCTAAAAGCTATGTGACATATAACAAGATAGAAGGAGAGAGGTAAATTCACTTTTCAGATCTGATATAAATTATACATAGCTCTTGAAACCCATTTCCTTTCCAAGCTGAGAGGTGCTGACACAGAGCAGCACACAGCTGCCCCAGGACCTCCTGAAACCTAAAGAGAGCTGCTCACTCTGAGTTTGGGTGAGTCATGATAGAGTGTCTCAAAACCTAGATGAAAGAAAAAGCAGTCAGATAGTGGTACTTACACACAGGCATCCCTAGATGGTGCTAAGAATTAACTTTATGGTGATCTATCCAAACCAGTTCACTCAGAGCCCTCCTTACAAATTTCACTCTCAGAAGAATACTATTTTTCAACAAGGAACTGTAAATATGTAGTCAAAAATACCAGCTACATATATACTAAATAAAAAAGCCTTAAATGTTTTAAAACTGGAACATAATTACTTAAGGAAAAATGGCAATCTTCCCAAAGCCAGAAACATCCCAAGGTTGTAAAACATTTACTGCTGGACAAAGACAGCTATGAGTTATGGCCTCCCCATGTATAGTAGGAGAATCACCTTTGAGAAATTTTATTTCTCAACCACCAGTTGCTGAAGATCAGAGAAATGCTCAGGAAAAAAACAGCAGTCCTGTGGCACATCTGTATCTGTCTACATATCTTAAAGGTAGCTCAAAAAAAAGTCATTGTGCTGGCAATGCTGTCTCTGTAGATGGGTACCTGAGGACTTGTGTTGCTGGCACAACACCTGCATCACCCACTAGTGAACTATTATAGAATCACAGAATGGTTTGGGATGGAAGGGACCCCAAAGCCCATCCTGCCACAACCCCTGCTATGGGCAGGGACACCCCCACTGACCCATAGCCTCATCCAGCCTGGCCTTGAGCACTGCCAGGGCTGGGGCACCCATAGCTTCTCTGGACAGCTGCACCAGGGCCTCACCACCTTCACTGTGAAGAATTTCTTCCTAATATCTAATCTAAATCTTCCCTCCTTTCACTTAAAACCATCACCCCTTGCCCTGTCACTATACTCTTCTCCAACATTAAGACCCACACGAGGTCCGGACTGCAAAATCAGCCAGATTCAAGAACTGCTTTTGGAAAGGGTCACCTTCAGTGAGTTTGCAGCTTTTGCTGTTGGCCCAACACACCTGTGACATCCAGCGGGCGCTTCTTCAGAGCGGTGACCACCGGGCCATCCTTCCTGCGCAACAGGGGGCTGCTCCGTCGTTCAGCCACTTTTTGCTTTAGTCTGGATCGTAATTTCAGGTTGGGTTCAGACGCTGAACAAAAGGAGGAAAAGCAAACAGTGTTTTAGTCAGTATTATTTCAGTAGCTGTGTTACTCAGTGCAAAAGCTGGGTTACAGTTCAGCATCGGCAGAGCCTAAACAAAAATAGTTATTTCGTACTGTGTATCTGGAGCGATGACTTCTAAATATAATGAATGGCTTCCCGCCTATGCAGTATCTGAATTCACTGATAATGAAAGTCAATACTGTTTTAATTAAAAATAATAACCATCCTGCAGCATTGTCTCTCCAGCGCCTTACAATCTGCTGTGAACTCATTTGGACCAGACCAAAGGGCATCAATTCACCTCCCCCATTTCCTGCTACTGCTCAACTTTCTCCCAGGCCAGAGGTGGAACCTAACTTAACGAGATCTAAAAATCAACACAGGGATAGGTGGGACAGCTGAGATGTTGCTGCTTGGTCAGCAGGTAGCAACACTGTGGGGCTGGGAGGCTGCCTGCCATGGCTTGGTGCAATGGGCAGCCCCACACCCTTGGAATCATCAGACCGTGATGTGAGCTGGCCCTGGGAGGGACACCTGGAGAGATGGAGGGGAGAAAACACAAATCAAATCCCACAACAAAAAACACAAACATTTTCTCACTGGGTTAGCTCCCCAGAGCACCTCACACTGGGATGCAATGAGCACTGGAGAAAAAGGGCATGGGAGCGTGGCCAGTGGCAAAGCCAAGGGCAGGGAGGAGGAGGTTTATTTATTTGGGGAGATACTTGATTACATCATTTCGGCCACAGAGTTACACCGTATCTAGAAAACACATCAAATACTTTGAAAATTCAGGGCTGCCCAGAGTGGGTGTGCATCTGTTTGCTGAGACCACAGTCTGACTTGCTTTGTGTACATCATGCAGCTGAAATATCCTCTGAAATAAATACTTCTGTACCCAAATCCTGGGATTTCATTTCTCTAAAAGTCAAAGCAGAACTGCTGGGATCCCCTAATACCTCTGGGCTAATGGCAGCTGGCAACACCAAGCACCTTTGTACTGCACAGCTTATCAGGTTCTTACGAAGGTAATGAAGCCTTAAGTCAAGATTCCTCCTGCGAGACGATTTTCTCTGTAAACTTTGCAATCTCTGGAGCATATACAAAATATCTGCTGTGGTGCTCGAGGGCTCCTGACAGTTATGAGATTTGTGAACTGGCCCAATCTTTTCCATTCCTCAATCTCTTAACAACTCGGCGGCTTAATCCCTTTGAACCAGCAAATCCTGTGCTCTTGCCATTAACTACCAACGCACTCGGCTCCCTGCACTGGGAGGCCAATAATCTGCATTTCTTTAGAAGACTTAAAATGGGGTTTACAAACTGATTTGAATTAACTAAGTCTGGCTGCGGCTGTATTTCCCTACAATTGGCTTTGACCACCAGGTCATGTAAAAGATCAAGACCAACCGTGTTAATTGCAGGGCTCAAAAATCAGAAGCTGATGAATTCAAGATCAAATGCTTTAAGTTAAGCCATCAAAACAGTTCTTTGATGAAACTTTGGGAAGGGGAAAAAAAGAGCTTTTCATGACTGTTTGGGACAGAAAAATGCCAGTAAGAGATAAAGGAAGCACTAAAAAAAAAGTGTCACTCATCAAGATGATGCTTAAAATGCAATATGAAGTGCATTAGCAAAGGAGAGAATCATCTTACAGGACATTTGCATATAAAATGGCAGGGGGCTGAATGCAAATCTGTCATTTGCTTGGAGGACAAAATTAGAGGAGTGGACTAGATAAAGTACAAGTGAGTGCTCTGACTAGTTCCTGTATGAAATTCTCTTCAAAGCTGAAGTTGGCCTTAATATTTTTAAAGTTGCCTTTGGACACGAGGGAGTTCAGTATCTCAGGCTACATGCTTTAAAGCTGTTGCAGGTATCAGTGATTAGTAACCATCGAGATGCTACTATCAAGATCTTAAAGAATAAATGGGAATGTGTCACAGCTAGATGCTGATCCATTCCATTTTAGACACATCTGCACTGCCAGCTAGTAAATGAAATATAAGCCCGTGCCACAGCTGTTGCAAGGATCTATCTTCTGACAAAGAAAAACATGACAATATAAACTGTACTTTGGTGTAAATTTCATTCACACACGATTTATATCGCGCGTGGCATTCATCTGACGTACGTCTTCTGCTGGGAACAGATGAGTAATTGTATGATTCTCAAGCACAGAGAATGAATGGATTGGAAACACCTTAAAAGATGTCTGGAAGGAGAGATGTGGGGATTGCAGTTTACCTAGCACTACCAGATATGCCCCCTGCATACAGCCACAACAGAAAATCCAGCCGTGCAGAAGGAAGGGAACAAACATACAGCATTACAAACCTAGGAGAGAGAAGTTATGGCATGTGATAATTTGCCAGACAGAAGTATTTTGGGGTTGAAGTATCCTGTGTTCTCCTGCTTTGCTCCCCCAGATGGGGGATCAAATTCTGAAACACAAAATGTCTACTTAAAAACCACGCTTGTTTAGTAACACTCCCTGCCTTTGTTCCGTGATAGAACTCTGAGTTTTTCTCCCAAATATAATCCCAAATCTAAGATGTCATCGAGACCTCAGAAAGCATAATCCCTACATGCCTTTAATTGGGTGTTATACAACCCAAAGCGGGGGAATTAAGACTCAGCACCAGCAGTGCAGAACAGCCTCTGGTTCAAAGAATGCACCTCTACCACATTTCATAACTAAAGAGTAAGTTTTCAAGAGGCTTTTCCAAAACTCAGAACAGTAATTTCAGCTTATTCACGTGGCTTCTGAACTACTCCAGTTTTTAAACCAAAGAGAGTTGTCCTTCACAAGTATAAATTCTGAATTTAGGTGACATATGAATTTGAGCAATTCTATGATTCTATGCTATTGTTTGTTAGGGTGGTATGCTTATGCTGCGGTTGGACTTGATGATCTTTAAGGTCTTTTCCAACCTGAGCAATTCTATGACACACAACTATCAATACCAGTTCAGTAAATTCAATTTTCAATAACCCCAGTTCCACTGAACACCTCTTGAGGCTCATCCTTCAGGCTTCACATCCAAAGAGTTGCTCCCAGTGACTGCTAACTAGTGCAACATGGAGAACTGTCAATTGAAACCCAAAACATACTGGTCTTTTGCTGCTTAAGGTGGTGAAGTATTTTAAACAAACGTTGTGAACTTATTAAAAAATCAGTTTGATTCCTGTTTAGCAAAGAAATGAAGCACAGGGCCAAGTCTGAGTCAGCTTCAGAGAAGCCAGTGGGATTTCTTAAGCAGTGACATACTTAATTTGGCCCATAATAGGGGTTTATTCAAAGAATATTTTGTTTTTCTCTGAGTAAATTAATAACTAGAACACAGGCCAAAAGCTTCCTCAGTTTTCACAGACTCAAACCCAAGTTACCCCTCTTTTACTTCATTTACTGCAGCAGGACTCATGTAATCCAATTCTCCAACATTTATGTCACTCTCATTGTTTTCTTCCTGGAACTGCATCCACTAAGCTGCTGAACTAATCTGACATTAAGTCTATGCAAGTTAAAAACACAAAATCCTGGGCAGAGTTTGCCCTGTTCCCATTACACATCTACGAAAAAAGCAAACAATGCACCGTGAAAACTCTAATTCCAGTCCTCGCATATCTTAATTTTGGGGGCTGGGGATTGAGAAAGACTATTCTTTTTTTTGTTGTTTTAAACCACATTCCAAGCCACAGCAGTCAGGCAAAGGCCAACACAATTACCTTGTCACTTTTCTAGAGTCCTGGTTACTCCATGGCTAAACAAAGGAGAGGAACACAAAACCTGTCTGAAGCAGGCCTTTTGCACAACACAGAACCTTAATGAAGACAAAAGATCTTTTGTTTAGGAAGGAGGGACCACAGGTTGTGCAATTTAGTGTCTGCCTCTTCTCCCCAAAAATACCGGATCCTCTGCCTCAACTGGTCCTGGTTAAAGCTGGCAATGGCAGAATTCACCAATGGCTGAACAAAAGGCTTTAACAGCCACAGGATTGTTCCACCACCATCCCTCTGGACCACAAGGGTGCTCACATTCTTGATTTCCAATCCCTGCAGACATTGGTATAGAGGAGAAGAATCTGATCCTTGACAAACATACCCGGAGGAGAGAGGTACCACAGGGCACAAACAGCAGCAGCAAATTCCTGAACTAGAAAGGAAAATGGGAACAAGAAGACCTGGATATTCTGCAGAAACAAACTCAATTTTTTGTGTGCTAGGTACCATGCTAGAGAGCATGACCTGAAAGAGTCCATCCTGGAATACTGATGCATTAGAAGGGCTAGATATATTTGCAGAGTTTTCTCTTTTGTGTTGCCACAAGCACTGTTTAAGAGCTTTGTGGGCAGGCTATTTTGTATATTTGTGGCAGGTTGTGTCCTTAAAATGAAAACTTATTGAAGGCTAATACTTGGCATTTCTTCATGCTGAAGCTTAGTAGTCTCAGCATACAAGCAGTACAAAGGAAGCTTCATGAAGCTGAGCACACAACGTTCACACTTTTTACAGCTTCACTATCACTTGCCTGACTATGGAACCATGCAGAAAGGCACCGTCACAGAGTGCTGCAAAGGTATCCACTGTGAATAGACAAAACTGGACTAGAAAAACAAACACATGGAAATGCCAGATCTTGTCTCTGTCTTCCCCTTTCTAAGTCTACATAAAGACAGCAACTTTGCAGCGTTCAAAGCATTATCTGGAAGGAAAGATAAGAGATGTGGAAGGGCATAAGGAAGTGAAAGAAGAAAGAAAATGAAATCCAGCATATGAGTTTCCCCAGTAAGGTGTTTAAAACAGCACTGAGCTCTGCAGGAGGGAAGGAGACAAACATGGAATTTCCAGACCCAAAAAGCTGCAGTGCTTGTTCAGAAAGGGCCCCGACTGACTCAGCACAAGGGCAGAGAGCAGCTCCAAGCAGCAGAGATCACAGTGGAGCTAAAACCTGGTTGTTTTAGCAGAGCTCCTGAGCAAGAAAAG